ATCTATCTATCTATCTATCTATCTATCTATCTATCTATCTATCTATCGTGTTTTTCATATAATAAGGCCGGGTCTTATTTTTTTTTGAGCCCCGAAAAAATGGCTAGGCCGTCTTTTCGGGGGTGACTTAATTCCCCCCCCCCTTGTATCTTCGGGCAGGTGGGCAGTGACGGCTTGGATGTTGACCCCGGCGTTGGTGGGGCACTTTGTATCAGGGTCAACGCAGGCAGCACCATATCCGGGTGTGCAACAAAAGTACTTCCTAATGGCAAGCCCCACCACCATCCCCCCCCCATTTCGCATGTTTTAATATAGGCCTTAATTTGGGGGGAGGGGCTTAATTTCATTTCATGCCTATAAAACATGCTGGGACTTCCTATTGGGGGAGGCCGTATTGTTGGAGAAACAGGGTATCTATCTATCTATCTATCTATCTATCTATCTATCTATCTATCTATCTATCTATCTATCTATCTATCTATCTATCATCTCTCTCATACCCTCTCATCCCTCTCTCTCCCTCTCTCTCTCTCATCTACCTACCTTCCTACCTACCTTTCTCTATTAAATTTATATGCTGACCAACTCCCCTATAAGGTGACTTTAAGTTTAATGGTGATGGACTGGTTTCCTTAGTGTGTGCTTTGTTTAACTTGCTGGAGGCCCTGATTTTTTCCTCTACCACCGGAGAGCTTAATGAAAGGTTACAGTACTTTATGGCCTTACCCTAAGGACATGCAACACTAATCTTATAATTTTCCTAGCAAATATAATGTAGAAGGGAGAGAATGCCAAAACTACAATTCACTAAATGGGCCCATCTTTTTCAGCTGGTCTTCAATCATTCCTGGCAATCTTGCTTGCTGTAAGCCAAGGCATTGTCATTCTTGGCTCTGAAACACTGGCTCTGTTCTTCCTTATCCTCTCCCCCCCCCCCCCCCCCCACACTACCTACACATTTTAAAGGAAGGAGGAAACAAAGCACAGAAGGGCAGGGGGGGAAATGAAGTTGGAGAAGGAGGATTGGTGCAAGAGATATTTGAAATATGCCTGCAGCAGCAAGACCACCAGTCCAGCAACACCCATTTTCTTGAGGTGGGAGAAAAATGGAATGCATCACCTTGAAGGACCCTGGTATCATCTCAGGGTTTTTCTTCACACATGAACAGTTTCATTCAGACTCTTTGCTCTGGTTATTATCTCTTGCTCAGGCTTTGCTACTTCCAACACACTCACACACACACACATATACACACACTCCTTCTCTACTTGAGAGCATAATCTTCCCTCTCTTCCTGAAGAACATTCTTTGAGGTTTCCCTCAAGGAGTCTTGGACCCTACCACTAGTTTCTTGCAGTGATTTGGTGCTCTTTTAGTTTAGGATTAACCAGTGATGCGCTTCAAAAAAAGCTTACCACTGGTTTGGTTGGCGTGGCTTGGTGGGCGTGCTTTGCTCACGCATACATACTTTGTGCATGTGCCAAACGCCCACTTTGTGCGTTGGCGCAGAGGCTTTCTGACTCACCTCCTGCAATCCTGCGCTCTCCCTGTTGCTTCAGCAGCTGGCCCAAAGCAGCTGCGCTTCAAAAGCAGGATATAAAGGTCAGTATGGGAGCCCAGGTGGGCGGGTGGGCCCAACAGCAGAGTCTCCGCTGCTCTTTGGCACTACCGGTACGCCAGAACCGGACTGAACCGGTAGAATACCACCACTGGGATTAACCATAAGTTGACCTTCAGGTTTTTGCAAGGCAGGCTACAAATATGTATGAAATGGCGGGGAATTGGTGTGTGTGCATGTGGTTGGGTTAACTGAGGAAATCAGCTTCCATCTACAGTAGTCCTCCACTTACGACCACAACTGACCCCAACATTTCTACTGCTAAGTGAGACAGTTGTTAGGTGAGTTTTGCCGCATTTTATGACCTTCCTTGCCACAGTTATTAAGTGAATCACTGCAGTTGTTAAGTTAGTGACACGGTTGTTAAGGGAATCCGGCTTCCCCGTTGACTTTGCTTGTCAGAAGGTTCCAAAACATGACCTCAGGGCACTGCAACCTGAGGTTGTCAGTTCCCAAGCATCTGAATGTTGATCACATGACCCATGGAGATGCTGCAATGGTTGTAAGTGTGAAAAACGGTCACAAGTCACTTTTTTTTTTAGTGCCGTTGTAACTTCTGTCACTAAATGAACTGTTGTAAGTCCAGGACTACCTGAATACAATTCCTATAGTTTATATACTGTACGAATTGTGACCAAAAAAAGGCATTATTCCTAGATTGCATTTATGTTTGAAATATAATTCAAAGAAGGCACAGTTAAGAGATAGCTGGAAACTGGACCTCTTGCAGCTGCATAATGGTATTTTGATTATGTGCTGCTCCAGCCATAAGACTTGAAAAAAAGGAGGTAAAACGGTGTGTGTTTTGCATTTATTAGTTCACTGAAATGTGACTATGTTTAAACTTGGCCACTGAAGGTAAAGCTTTAAAGGAAAATGGCTTTGAGGGATGTTTAAAAGGTTTGAAGTCTGGCAAATGTAGAAAATGATCTGTCTTCTTTTTAAGAAACAACTCTGCCGTTGCCTTTCTTAATTACTGTTACATGTCGTGCTGCTGGAGTCCTCTTTGTCTCTAAATGGATAGATTCCCCCCCCTCCTTTGTTCTGGCTGATGCATTTGGACTGTTTGAGTCTCTTCTGCTTAATTCTACATTAGGGTTCCTCGAAATCAGGTTTATCTACTTTTCCCCACTCCTTCTTCCATCTTGAGAAGGTGGCATGGCTGGTATAAGTTAAGGAAAGACCCAGACCTGTTAAACTCGATTCCATTGAGGGCCGCATCAGGGTTGTGTTTGACCTTGGGGGGCTGGGGTGGGCATGGCCAGGGTGGGCATGGCCAGCTCGACGTCACTTGGGTCGGGGGCACCTGTGGTGGCCCGAGGTCCGTTTTCGGCTGGGATGGCCTCCTGCAACCCTCTGCCAGCGAAAATGGAGCTTTGGGGGTGGGAGGAGCTTCCGAGCTCTATTTTCACTGGCAGAGGCACTGCGGGCCGGTCCTTTGCTGTTTCCAGATCAGCCCCGTGGGCCAGATCTAAGCATCCTGCTGGCTGGATCCAGCCCCCCAGGCCTTGAGTTTGACCTCCTTGTGTTAGGGGCTCAAATGTAGATCGAAACTCCCAGGAAAGTGTTGATAAGGATCTCACCCACTGCTTTACCTTCCTGGCTGCCTTATTAAGAACAAAACAAACACAAATCTAAACACATGTAAGACACAGGTTGCATGAAGAGGGCATCGGATACTGTTTTTGTAAACAAGAATAAATAGGTAAGCGGGAATGAGATCTAGGTGCCCGACTCTTTTCTTTAACTGGGGGCTGACTAAGTTTCAATGTGGTTTTTATAAACTGTAATCCCAACAAATTTAAGAGAGGGGATGAGGAGGATTTCTCTCTGTAAAAAAAAAAATATTGTATAAAGTTCCAGTTATTGCAACAAACAGAATATGGTTTCAAAACTGAAGCTTTAGTTCTTCTTTGAATGGGTTCCTTTCCTGCATTGTTTATTGTACGGCAATGGGACACATTTGAATGGTTTTTAGGATTTCGTTGCTGTGCATCAGACATTCCTTTTGTTGTTGGGAGAAACAGAACTTATTGTTGAACATTTCGAAGAACTAGATGTACAATATATTAGTGGTAAAGAATTTCCTTGGGCTCAATCTTAAAAAGACTTGATTAAGCAAGTGCTAGCCTGTTCTTTAGGTTTTGTGGCACCCTGGGGTCTTGCTGTAAAAATAGTCAGATGGGTTGGAGGACTTCCAACTTCTTAAAAAACTCTTGCTTTTCTCTAGCAAACAACTGTGAAGAAGCTGTCCTTTTAATTCTATTTAGATCTTAAAATGCTGCAAGAACAGTATCCTAGGATTTCCTGATGTTTCGTAGTTCTTAATGAACAACTTTTTTCCTCCCAGGAGTGTTTATTGGCTGATTATAATTCTGAATAAAGACAAGCTCACTTCCTTTGGGGAGGGCATTGCCTGGCATACCACTCAGAGGCCATATGTCTTTCATGTTAAAAAAAAAAGTTTATGTACCCCTGATCTGAAAGATTTTCCGAGGCTGTTCAGTGACATTCCAAATTGTTACAGTAACAATCTGCTGCTACAGAGAAACGTGTGAATTTACTAATACATTAGTAGCTCTCGTTGCCTCTTTCTTTCCCATGCTAAGATGCAGCCCAAAGAGCTGAATCTCCATGACCTTCTGGGTGTATTAGAACTCATCCCATACTTTGCATCTTCCTTCCTCGCATCATTGAATTTGCAGGAGTGCAGCTGCTGCAGGAGAAGTCACCAGAGGAAGGTGAAGCCCTTGTCCGGAGACGCACTACCAGTGAGGGTCAATACGAGAACAGTCCCCAGGAACCCAGTTCACCACGAAGCCCGACCGTCCGATCACCAATTCACTGTGTCTCACCAGAGGTGGTCAGCACCATTGCTGCCAATCCTGGAGGAAGACCTAAGGAGGTACTTTTTTTTTTTTTTTTTTAAAAAGGATTTTCTTTTTAACTCTTTGCATGGCGGTAAAGATACCTGGTGGAGGACAGAGAATACCAAGGTATTAAAGGGAAAATTGATTGGGCAGTAAGATGGAATAAACAAATGAGACAGGTCCTCCTCAAATATTAGTTGGGTGGAGCTAGAACTCCAAAGTATTTGTATTTGAATTTAGATACAAAACCCACCCTAGTATACTGAAATCCTCGTTTTCACAGAATATTATGAAGCAGTTTGACACTCAAACAAACAACAACAAAAAAGAGTTGCATTTTAGATCTGCAACTATATATGAGCCATGGTGGTGTAGTGGTTAGAATTCAGTATTGCAGGCTAACTCTGCATTCCCTCTGCCAGGCGTTCAATCCTGACTGGCTCAAGGTTGACTCAGCCTTCCATCCTTCCGAGGACGGTAAAATGAGGACCCAGATTGTTGGGGGCAATAGGCTGACTGTGTAAACTGCTTAGAGAGGGCTGTGAAGCACTGTGAAGCAGTGTATAAGTTTAAGTACTATTGCTATTAGATTTAAAAAAAGAAGGCATGAAAGCATTAGGAAATCCTTGGAAAAGCAATAAAATATACACACAAAAATGCATACTTTAGAAGAAATTCAGATGACAAATTTTCACCAACTTGCTTTGAAATCTATAAAACGGAGAGCTTGCATAAAATTGACTTGGCCATCCCTATGGATGGCTCTTCCTTGAGCTTGGGGATTAAATTGAACTGGTTTGGGGCAGTAAAATTTCCATGCTTACTCCTCCTCCCAGCAAAATGAATTGTGGAATACCTGCTGCAACTTGCCTCTTCTGCTTCCTCCCACCCCCTACATCTTACTAGCAGTTGAAGAAAATGTAGCAAATGAAAGATCTTTGATGAAAAAAAAGAGGTGAAAACTATGAAAGAAGAAAGAACTGGAGCAAAGGGGGAGAGGAAATCATGTGGAGGAAAAAGAAATCCCTGCTGTCTAATTTGCTAAGAGTTGGAATAAATGTAAAGGAAGGGAGACTACAGGTAGTCCCTGACTTACGACCACAATTGAGCCCAACATTTCTGTTGTTGAGTGAGTTTTGCCCCCTTTTACAACATTTCTTGCCACGGTTGTTAAGCAAATCACCGCAGTTGGTAAATTAGCGACCTGGTTTTTAAGCAAATCTGCCTTCCTCATTGACTTTGCTTCTCAAAAGGTTGAAAAAAGGGATTGCATGACCTGGGGACACAGCAACAGTCCTAAGTATGAGTCAGTTGCTAAGCATCTATTCTGACCCACACTCTTTTCCAACAAATTAAACACAATCTAAAAGAAACAGAAACCTTGTAATGCTTTTACAAAATAATTAGCTACGATAAGCACAAGCCTTGCCAAACTGCGCAAGCCTTGCCAAAAGATAATAGACAAGAAATAATTTGCAATACAAGAATCTTCAAATATAAACTCAGGATACTGGAATGTCCACGAGGCTGGAGTTCCAAAATGTCTTTGCCTTCTGCAAAGTATGTTTGTTTCACAGCTGGCTTTTATCTTCTTGAAGGAGGGGCCATTACCTTGCAGCCTTACTCCCGAGTTGCCCATGCTGTTGTAACTGCTGTTTCCTGCGAGCAGCCCTGCACGCATGCAAACTTGGCACAGGCTCCTCGGGAACCTCCTCGTCACTACTGCCAGCCCCCACAATCTCTGAAGGCAGCAGTCCACTCCCTAATGGTCCTGGCCCCTCACCTGAGTCCTCGCTCTCCTCAGCCGTCTGTACCTGCTGCCAGCTAACCACAACAGCATCTGAATTTCGATCACACAATCACGGGGCTGCCACAAAGGTGTGGAAAACAGTCCTAAGTCACTTTTTTCACTGCAGTTGTAACTTTGAATGGTCACTAGATGAACTTGTAGTAAGTCAATGACTACCTGTATCCAGTTCTGGTAACTAACTGTATTTTCATTCTCTCTTTCACAGCCCCATCTTCATAGCTACAAAGAAGCTTTGGAGGAGATACAGGGCACCTCTCCAAGCAGTCCACCTTCCAGTGGTGGTGAGACTTCTCCCCCAACCCCTGCCTTCCCTGTCTCACCACAAACCCCTTACAGCAACCTGTGTAAGTTTTGTGGCTTAGACGAAGGGCGGGAAAGAGGGAGGTTGGCATTTGGTTTTGGGAAAGCCATACTCAGAGGCAAACCGTTCACAGCTTCCTGACACCCACCACCATTTTAATCCCACTTTTATTTTCTCCCTTCTTTCCATCGTCCCATCTCAGCTGTTTCCTCACCCTCTTTCATCTCTGCTTGGTGCACCCTTCTCATGAAATCACCGCGAAGTATGCTTCCATCCATCCTAATAATCGCAACAGCATAGTTTTGCAAGTATAAATATAGCCAGCAGCTCCCAGATGATGATAAAGGCATATTTCTTTCTGGTCTGTCCTCTGCTTGTTGTAAATAAGGGTACACGATCATTTACCAGGAATATATAATTAAAATAGGGAAGTACTACACTACTTATCACTATGTAAATGACTCGTGTGCTGGGATCTGCTCTGTTTTGCTGCATCTTCACCCTTCTTGGAGGAAATAGGGTTAAAATACAACACATGGTAGGTTTTACTTAATTCTGCATATCATTAATTAAGCAGGTCAGCTAGTAGTAGTAATGGAAGCAATACAGTACGTATTTTCTAATTGTTTTTTGGGGGGGACAGAGAATCATTCTTTTAAACAAAAGGCAAATAATATAATAATTTAAATGAATCCCTTTTTGATAATTAATTTGGTAATGTGGGTCAAAATGTGCCCCCACTAACTGTGGCGAATATGTAATTATCAGAATCAGGAAGATGATGACATACAAGGCTGACATCCATCATCAATCCATAAAAGATACAAATTTCTCTCTGAGATATTTCTAACAAAAACATAAATTATTAACCTCTTTAAAAATACATTTGCTGGCTTAGTTCCTTACCAGGGAAATATTATTCCTGACTGAAACCTAGTGCACAGATTCTGCAGGGGAACTTATTAACCTTGCTCTGGTCCTTGTTATTATGAGAGAAGAATTCCCCATCCTTTGACGCATCTGGCATGATCATGAACTAAAAGAATAATTATATATCCCTCATTGACATTTAAAATTCTCATGTGGCCACGGAAATTTGTTTGCTCTGATATTTGACTGATATTCCTTTTAGTGTAAAGATTCTAGAAAAATCACATGCTTCCAGAAAACCAACTGTTGCATATATTATTTTGACTATCACTAACAGTCTTTCTGGGTAGAAAAATGAGATCCCAACAGCATTTATGAGAGAATAAGGGGGATCCGTTCTTAATTAAACCTAACCGCCCCCCTCCCCGATTCTGGCTGTGGAATGCCCCAGAGGAAAAATCCATGATTTTTTGCAAGGATATCCTATTTTAGATAATAGTTATAATTCTTCCTCTGAGCCACTTATTATGTTGGGAATATGGAGGGAAGGGAGGTCAGTTGAACTCTGCAGGTGGGAGAAAATGAAAATTTATCCATATCCTAAATGTACATTTGAAATATTTTAGATGTCTCAGTAACATACACCTCTGTTAGGAAATGCATACTGACAGAGAGCAGCGGAATGAGTGCATTAGCTTTTTGTATCATAGAATCATAGAGCCAGAAGGGACCTGGGAGGTTTTCCAGTCCAATCCCCTGCCCAAGGCAGGAATCTTCATATCATCTTGAATAAATGGTTGCCCAATCTTTTCTTGGAAACCTCTAGCAACGAAACACCCACAACTCCAGGAGGCAAGTTGTTCCATTGATTAATCATTTTCAATGTCAGAAAATCTTCCTTATTTCCAGGTTGGCTCCCCCTCCCCCATTTCTTCTTGTCCTACCCTCAGATGCTGTAGAGAATAAATCAATACCCTTTTGCCTGTGGCAACCTTTCAAGATAAATGAAGAGAATTAAAAGATCCCTTCTAAGTACACAGGATTTAGCCCAGAGGTGGTATTCAGCAGGTTCTGACCAGTTCTGGGGAACCGGTAGCGGAAATTTTGAGTAGTCTGGAGAACTGGTGAATACCGCCTTTGACTGGAGATTTTACAGTATCCTTCCCCTGCCATGTCCACCAAGCCACGCCCACAGAACCGGTAGTAAAAAAAATTTGAATCCCACCACTGATTTAGCCCTACAATATTTAATATGCAGAATGACATTTGCCACAAAATAATCAATGTTAGATGGGAAGGCACAGAGTTACCAAGACAAATAGATAAGAAATAAAGCATATATTCAAAATTCCACATTTCATGCCACAGTTATGCCCCCTATGCATCCTATAGAATGCGCTTGTAGAACAAAACATTGCATTTTGAATATATCAATCATCAGTGGTGTGTAGCTCACCTTGATGGAGATGGCTTTTGAGCAGTAATTATGCTACACATCTCCTAATCCTCCAAAATACAAATGAAAGCTTCCATCATGAAGATGGGTGGGAAAACCCATCTATGTGAAGAACTCCATCCCAATGCCAACAGCCATTCCTAGGAAGAATGTTGATTCCATAATATTGATAGCTATCTACAGCTCCAAACCCAGAAGGTAAACATACAATTTGAATCATGTTGTACCATTCAAGATATGAATCTAATTGAAGAGATATGTAGCCACACAGCAGTTAAAACTGCATGCAAAATTTCCTGTAATTACATGGCTATTTGCACTGTTGAAATTGTATTAGGCTGCCATAGAGACTCTTGCCCCGCTCATGTGAGTCACTTGTTCTATTAACCTCAACTGTCTCCAAAGTGCTTTTTCAAGAGGCAACTGGATTTCCTTGTTTTTCTTTGAAGACATTTCGCTTCTCATCCAAGAAGCTTCTTCAGCTTTTTCACACCCATTTGCACTACTCAGGTGACCTTGAGAACAGAGACAAATCTCCAAGTGGCCTCAACAACTCTCTAAAAGAATGTAAATGACCAGCTGTCAGCAAGGAATATAAATGACAATGAGAGACAGGTTGGGAATGGAGAGGTGTAAAATAAAAGACCAATTCTCAGAATATAAAAGATAGATTCACTTTGGATTTTCCCATTAGAAATGATTATTATATATTGTTGAATTTTAGATGAAAAGGTTAACATTGTTCTCGTTCTGACAGTCAGAACTGAAGAAGCTTCTTGAATGAAAAGTGCAATGTCTTCAAAGAAAAACAAAGAAAGCCCAGTTGTCCTTTGAAAAAGCACTTATGGGACAACCATGACCTCATTGATTGAGAATCTCCATAGATGCTCAGCTGTAAGACATGCCATTCATCTAATGTGCTGGAGTCATCTCACACTGACTCGCAAGAGCCAACTGTTCCATTTTTTGGAATTTTTTTGAGCTGTTTTAAGAACAGAGGTGAACCTCCATGCCTAGTGCACCAGTCAGATTTCCACGACTGAGAGAACTCCAGATGAACAAACTGATTCATAGCAGTCCTGCCTCTCTACAAACTCCAGTGCAGTAATTGCATTTGCAACCAGATCAACCCAATTACTTGAATAAGCTCATTCTCTTAGTCTGTGCGCATCTGGTATGGATTCTGTAACTGTTTCTGCTTTCCACGAAGACATAAACAGCCCAGAATTAGATCTCATTTGAAGATGTTGGTGAGAACCTGATCTGAACCTACCTGTTGCATGCCCTCTTTTTCTTTCTCTTCTGATCAAGCATGGTTCTGCGTGACTAATCTTTGGTATCTTGGTGGTGGGTTTTTAAAATTCATTAGCTTTGAACTGTTCCACCAGTATTTCATCCGGGCAGAGCTAACATGGCTAAGTATGAACAAACATCAATGAGCCACTAAGCAACTGGGAAAGAGCAAAGATTCCAGAAGGGTAGAAGAACCTTTTTCTTTCAATAACTGGATTCTTTCTGAACAACCTGAATACTCTCAAATGTCAAAGGGCTGGATATTAGCACTAACTGTAAACTTGTAGATTTTACATAAGATATCTTTAAAAAGCTACCCTTCCTCCCAATACATTGTGAATCATAACATATGAATGTTTACATGGTATTAAGATGAGCACAGAGACGTGGTGGCTCAGTGGCTAAGATGCTGAGTTTGTTGATAAGAAAGGGCAGCAGTTCGGCGGTTCAAATCCCTGTGTAATGGAGTGAGCTCCCGTTACTTGTCTCAACTTCTCCCAATCTAGCAGTTCGAAAGCACATAAAAATGCAAGTAGGAAGATAGGGACCACTTTGGTGGGAAGGTAACAGCGTTCTGTGCACCTTCAGCATTTAGTCATGCTGGCCACATGACCGTGGAGACGTCTTTGGACAGCACTGGCTCTTCGGCTTTGTAATGGAGATGAGCATTGCCCCCTAGAGCCGGAAACGACTAGCACGTAGGTGCGAGGGTAATCTTTACCTTTACCAAAGATGAGCACTATTCTGAAAAATAAAAGTAACCAGCACATGAATAACTTCCCAGGTTTAATGGGGCGTTAAAGAATAAGACCAGGTGTGTTTTTTCTCCCCTCATATTGTCTTCTTTCCTGGCGTCCTGACATGTAAGGACTTGGCTCTTTTCCAAGGTTGACCAGGACCATGAGTGATTCTTACAAGTTCATACATTCTGATTTTGTGCCAGTTCCCCAAACTAACAGAGATTAATATAAGATTGCCTGGACTGTGTGATATGCCTGGCTTGCGGCCCATTGCTAGAGCAGAAGCATCTGGAGGGTCTCCAGACATTCTCAGGGACATTTCTGTGCTATCATTGGTAGAGAACAAATGCGACCAAGTCACCCTAGTTTTTACTAAACCCATTCATTTCTTTCTGTGGCCCATATCCCATGGAGTTTTACTTAACATCTATTAATTCACTAAAACCTAATCTCAGATAAGTGTGTATAAGGCTATAACTTTTATAACACTATCCCTTGCTTGATACTCTTATGGACAACAGCCATTCAGATTCAAGTTTAGTTAGCTCCCCTTTCCTAGCCTTGCATTCCCCAGACATGTTAGATTAAAATTCCCCAAATTCATACTCATCCTAGCCAGGAATTGAAAATTAGAGGCTATAATTTTAGAAGGTTTATTGGGGATGACTATGTAAGAGATATGCCATCTTAAATTATTCTTAGAATAACAGCCAAAACTGTCTTTAGTATTCACTATGAATATTTATGGCTCTTCTGTGGAACTGTTTCATGAAGATTTGTCTTCTTCACCAGCAAACTAAAGTGTGTGAGACTTATAGACTTTGAGAACAGAAATGCAATGATATATACACTGTTTGAGAATCTGGGTTACCTAATACCCTGGACATGAACTTGCTTGTTTCCCCTTTGCTCATTGGCCCTTAGCAGTGAATGCTAGCCAGCCAAGCTAATCCATGATGAAATGCAAGCTCTTGGTAACTGGCTTTCCTTTAATGTGCCTGCCTACCTTCCTCTCTCCTCCTGCTGTGAGCCCCTGCGTGGGTGCCCATCTGAAGCCGTAAGTCAGATGATTGCAATTCAAGCCATGAAAAAATGTCTTAAAACTCTCCCCATCCAGACAAAAGTTCTTCATTTGTTTGCTTCCATCCAGTTAATTTTTGGAAAAAAGAGTTTCAACTAAAAAGCCTGAATTGTTTAGAATTGTCAGCACCAAACACAACCAGCAGTTGAAAGAAATAAGGAAGGCTGGAAAGTACTTTTGTGAGACTTGCTGTTTTAAACACATCTCACATATACATCTGCATCTGTTTCCTTCATTGCTCCTTGCTGCATATCTACTACGGGTATATATGCAAGAACGGCCTACATGTTGTTCTCCTTTTAGACTGGGAAGGCATAAAATCTGATCCACATTGATGTAATTGTGCAAATATTTTGTTGATGTACATGCTATAAATATAGACTTCTGCAGCTGTGTATATGGTGTTGCTATTTATGATATACAATGCCTTGATGAAGTGTTTGTGGTCCCTCTGTCTCATGATCATAATCTTTGCAGATGCCATATCTGCCTTTGGGCAAAACTGTGACATGAGATGATGTCATCCATTCATTCATGGACATTTTCCAAACATACTGATAATGGGAAGGGCAGGCTATGGACATTTATTGTCAAGAATATGTTTGTTTTTTTATGGGTCATGCTAAACAAGTAAAGAATAATCTGGAAATTGTTAGGCATTGTGTTATACATTGTTCTGTAAATTCCTAAACAGCTGCTAATAGGAAGGTTACTTAAGAAAGCCAGGTGAAAGCATTCTGAATTTTTATAAGTGAGAGAAATGGAAACAGGGATGTGTACATTCTCTGGATATCTTCTGCACAGGGAAATTGCAATTAATTGCAATCCAGGAAAATCAGGTATGTTTCAGCCCTGTCCTACTTTGCAGTGTATATTTTAAATCCCATATCACTAGAACTAAATTGTTAATGGCTGTTGTTTGATGTGGCTAAATATGGAAGAGACCATTGCTGTTATATCTTTGGTATTAGAACTAATGTAATATGTAGATGTCAGGCAGAGAGGTGAGATACAAATGACATGGAGCTCCAGTGGCGCAGTGGTTAGAATGCAGCATTGCAGGCAAACTCTGCCCCAACCTAGAGTTCAATCCCGATAGACTCACGGTTGACTCAGTCTTCTATCCTTCTGAGGTTGGTAAAATGAGGACCCAGATTGTTGGGGGGAAGATGCTGACATTGTAAACCACTCAGAGAGTGATGTAAAGCACTATGGGGTGGTATATAAATCTAAGTGCTATTGTCATTGTTATGGAAACATTTTTATACTATTAAAAAGCGGGGATGCAGATTGCTTCAGAGCAGTATAGGTTATGCCCTGCTGAAAAGCATATCAAAATGGGATAGTATAGACATCTAGTTTTTTTTCTTCCTTGTCTCTTTTTCTATCAGCCATGATGTTAAAGGCATAGTAATGTGTGTCATATATTAGGCAAATAATAGCCTGGGGTGTCTCTGACCGGTTCTGTTAAGAGTAAAAGCTCAGTAGAAGCACAAAATAGCAGGTTGTATTTTTATCAGCAGGTTTTCTTTCCCCCTGCTTTTGAGATAATGGAGGAGACATCATTTAAGTACGTCCCTCAGCTGTGCCTGAGAGAGGCTTTTGTCAAAAGTTCATAACCAGTTTTGGTGAGATCATCTTATTAATCAATCTTCATTCCCAATATAACAAGAACACTCTTGCTCTCTTGTTATGTTGAACGGCCCATCTCAATTGTCTTAAGAATGTATACTTTTCTCCCAAAGAAAAGTGGTTTCTTAGCCAAAGGTATTTCTACGATGAGGGCCAGTTCTCTTGTGGTTTCAGAAGGACAACCACATGGATTATTTCCAGCAACCCATTTATTCTTAAAATCATGATTAGATTTTGCTATATCTTGGTAATTAGCATCAAACCAATGTTTGGCTTTATTACTAATTAAACTATTCATTTTCTGATTTGTTGATTTCTCTCTTTCTGTTTCTGTATATCTGAAACAGTGCGCTCTCCACCAGGACTGGCTAAAACTCCACTTTCAGCACTGGGGCTGAAACCTCATAATCCAGCAGAGATTTTTTTGCATCAGACAGGAGGTAAGCGAAAGCATTAATACAATGGAAAAAATTGGTGTAACAGCAACAAGGAAGCTTGGTTGTTCACTTGCAGACATTTCATTACCCAGCTTGGTAACAATAGCAGTACAAATGAATGCGGGGTTTGTATCCTGTTTATATATAGCAGGGGTGTCAAACTTGTGCCCCGCAGGCTTACTGGCCCTGCCCCCCCCCCCAGTTTAGTGAAGGGGAAACTGTCCGGATATGTCACGTGACAACATTGTGACACCCCTGATATATAGTATCTTGCTTTTCAAGTATTGGTGGGGATGTTTTCTCCTTGGTGCTCCTTAATTAGGATATTGTTTTCTGCTTGATTACTTGTCTAGTGTTCACCCCTGCTTATTTGAATGTTGGCTGCTGGAGAAGATGTGTTCTGATTTTTTTAGTTTCCTTCTTTGTTTTTTTATTGTCTTTTTTAATGTTGTGTAAATATGGTTTATTTCTATGTGTCTATTGATGGTTGATTTGTTTGAATACCAAGCTTCCAGGAATTCCTGAGGATTTTTGCTATGTGCATCCTTGGTCTAGGATGCACATAGTTTCCCAGTTGAAACTATGGTTGAGTCTGTCCATGAGTTGTGAGGTTTAGGAGTTTTCATATTGTCTTCTGACTGTTAGCTGGTATTCATGGACATGCTCTGCTAATTTTCTGCCCTTCTGCATGTCTAAGTCCTGGACTGGATATTCAGATAAATCAGTTTTGTAGCTGACTGCTTAATTACATATCGAGGGCAAGGCAAGCTTTTGAAGGAAGTAGCTTATCAGATCCACCGCTAAATGACACAAATCCCCCAAGAATCCCACAACTAATTAACATTTTCTGGGTTTTATTTCTTGAGGGGCCTCTTTATGGCATAACTAAAATGCAATTAGCATGATAAAGCAAGGACACTTATTTGCTGGTTTATTTTGTTATTTATATACCTTAGTCTCCCAACTAAGAGCCAGAAATTAAAATAATACACAAACAACCGTGTCTTTAATGAGATCAAAGGAATATCATGATAATAACAAAAACATTAAATAATACATCAGAGACAATTTTTAAAAATGGTTAGGATTGTTTGGCATCAACAATTAAAACCTGGCAGAAAAATAAGCATAACTATGATGTGGTAGAATGCTAACAAATATTAACAAAAGATTTTAAAATATAACAAGCCTGATAAATGGATTCTGAGAGGATGTTCTGCAATATTGAATCTGCCACCAAAAAGGCTCTTCATTCCAGACAGCCTCTTTCATCACCTGTAGAAGGTCCTTACCTGCAGAATGAAACTCTTAGGTAACAATATAAGGAGGAAACTGCTCCTTCAAGTAGAGGGGGCCTGAGCTATATAGCAATATATATGCAAAAACAGGCAGCTTGCATTTGGCATAGAATGCAAGGGGAAACCAATGTAACTGACCTAAAAGAGATGTTAAATGCTCCCAGTAGGATGTCCTAGATCAGGGCTGTCAAACTCATGGCCCGCAGGCCAGATGCATCATGCCCACGGCCGGTTTAGGGAAGGGGGAAAAAAGTCGTGATACATCACGTGACGCTGCCGTGATGCTTCGAGTTTGACAACCCTGTCCTAGATGGAGCCTTGTTGCTGTTATTTTGGACTTTGTGCAATTTCCTATCCTTCTTTCAAGGGGGTTGCACATGTAGAATCTGTTGCAACCCAGTGATACATCATCTGCATTTGATAATAAGCCTTCCTAGCTGTCACATTGATCCGGGCCTTTGGAGCAGCCCAGGGTCTAAGTTCACCCCAAAAGTTGCTCTTTGGAGAAGAACGTTCCCCTCAAGGATATCAAAGATTCTCTCAAATTGATTGAGGATTTCCTGGCATCAAATCTGTTTGAATCCAATTTCAGTTGGAGCAGCGGGAGTCAATTGGGAAACTTGCAACCTCTGGAATCGATATGAAAATGGCAATTTGTGCTTTGGTAGTTCTTCCTGTTCATACATTGCTAACCATGTAAATCTCTCTGATACAATCTTTCTAAAAAGTGCCAAAAGATGCATAAAAATGAATGCATATTATAATTTAAAAGAATGCAAGAATGCACATTTCTGGTTGAATATTATTTAAGGTAAAATAAAAACAAATGTTTGTATACCTTAAAAATGCAGGTTGTTAGAATGGAGTGGATTAGGTAGCAATCGGAGAAGAATAAAACAGATTTAACACCTCTGCAACTGTTTTTTAAAGGAGATTTGCCTCACCTAATGCGACAGCTGTCAAGTCTTGGGCATCAGGTTATTTTTTTTCAATAATAATTTTGCATATTTATGCCTCTTTAATTTTTGGAGAGACCCAGAGAGCTGTTGCTTTTATTTACTAACAAAATTTACTAAGTACTAAGTTCTGGCTTAAAGGAGCATAGTATAAAAACATAGACACAAATCTGTTTTAAGAATCACGTCTCTTCGCTATTTTACTCTGATATCCAGCATTCTAAATCCAAGTACTGTGCTTCTGAGCTTATTGAAGAATATGGTAGAATTTTCTGAAGAAAAAGGAAACTTTAGCCAGAGATGAGCTTCATTGATAGCATATTGTATTTTTTTTCATAAAATTATTTTGCAAGTATTCAACACAAGTTGTGTAGTCCATATATGGCTCACCTCCATAATAATAACTTGCAAGTCTTCCACTATATAATAAAGAAGATATTTTCATCAGGCCCAGGTATTGCGATACTCCTAACTGTTTAGCAAAAGCTTGCTAATATCAGTCTCTTTCTTTTCCTTCTTTCCTTGCCCCACAGAAGTAGATGGGGAAACAGTAGTTGAATATGACCAAGGTAAGGAGGGCATTCTTTTCATCATATTAGAACACTTTGGATGAACTGTGAAAAGATGGAACAATCTTCAGTTGCCGAGATATCTGGTTGGCTTGCCTTGGGTTATCAAAAGGCTAAACAAAACAAAACGTTCATCATAGATTCAATAGCATCATGGATTGTTCAAGGGCTGCTGTACACACACATTAATCTCAAATAAATGTTGTCAGAGAAATGGCAGGGAAACTATTATTTATCTAAGAGTAATATTTTCCATCTCCTCAATGTAAACATGGGCAGACTGCCTTTCCTTCTTCTAATGTATTTCTTAGGTAAATATTCTGGTTCTACTAATCTGAATGTTTAGTAAACACCCTTTTGTAATTTCCTGTTGCAGAGTTAGTACTTCTGGTGAATGAGCTTAGTTAATATTACCCACTTAAAGTTTTCCAGAGAACACTTCAAGCATTGTTGATTGTAAGGTGAGCACTGCAGTTTTTGATACATATACTTGGAAGAAAAACTGCAGTGAGCTTAGTTATTCCCAACTATCTATGTACATTGTCCTGTTAGGCTGATTCAGACATTAGCTGGGCATTGTCTTGATCTTTCTATGAGCCAGCTGTGGTATTGGTAGATAAGATGGGCAGTCATACCAGTCGAATGAATGAATGAATCCCCTTTTATCCCTGCTCTTATTTACTGATGGTTGTGGTATGGTTGCCTATGTTACCATCTTTGAATGGGACTAACTTGCACAGATGTAGCAGTTGTAACATGGTAAAAGTACACCCTAAAAGAGTATTTCTTCCAAAATTATGAATGGCTTTTTCCAGCAATCTTTGTATTTCATTAAGCAGATCATAATTCATCAACTTTAGAGAAAAGTAGCACTATACACATTGGGAATTCTGATAGGGATTGTGGGGTATTAATCAGTAATTCAGATATACTTCTATGCAAGTTTACTCAGGGTTAAGCCCTACTGCATAGTGCAGCATTGACTAAATTTTGCTGTTATTCCCTGCTTCTTCCCCCAAACACCATGCTAGAAAAACAATGGCAACATTTCTTTTTTTTCCATACAAGGTTCCTGTAGCTTCATTTTATAAAAATAAGTAAAAATAGGAAGGGAGTAAGGGTAGGAAACTAAGCCATAGTTCGGCTTCAGGTGTAATTTGCCTTAAGACATCCTGTATTCTCTTAGTTGAGTTCATATTTAATCATTCCTCTGCAACTATATAAGGAATCAACATTCTTATTAATTATTTTCTTCACCCACCCCCAAGCAAGGCCATTGCTGGCTTTAAGAAAATCTATATAAACAAAAGGCCAAGGCAAGAATTTACATTTTTAAGAAGTTGATTAGGACAGAACACAGCTGGGATACAACTTAATCTTTTGGAAAGCAGCTGCATTTTTAGGTATTCCAAATAAACCAAAATAGAATCCTAAATATTTTCTGAACAGGATGTTCAAGAAATACATTTATAATGTATCATTATGGATTGTTGAGGCAAAATTTCTGGAAGTTATTGGTCAGATATATTCAAAAATCAATTATTATTATTTTCTTTTTAAGGTGGCAATCTATACTGAGAGACCTAGCATCCTTGGATAAGACTTTGTTAGTCTAATAACATAATCCAAGTTTTCACCTTTTTAAAACCTCCCTATTGATTTTATTTCAGAACAGATATGATAATGATAATGGTCATGATGATTAAAATTGTTGTGGGCACTCATTCCATAAAATGTGGAGGGACTAACAATATCTAATTATGCAATTAAAATAATAACAATGAAGCATAACCACCCAGATTAATTAATAATCATAACCATTTTAAAACAACAATAGTGACTCCACAAACACACTAACCCCAGAACTTTTTGCAAGGTATAGCATGCTTATCTAAGTAAATAAGAAAAATGAATAAAATAAAAAAGCAAACATTCATTGATTCCATAGTCCACCTGCTTCGAAGGCTCTTTATTGCTATATTTGCTAAATAGGGCAATTTTTTCCTTTAAATCTCCAATCCATTTACCATTAAGCACCATTAATGATATGGGGAAAACATGCCAGTTTCCATTCTTTAATCATAACCACTATGAAAAGGTTTCTCTCTGATATTAAAGGATAAGATGGTGAGTCAATCAAGTGGATAGCTAGATAGATAGTTCAAAAATTGTGTTGATAAGTAATCATCAATTGTCCTTCATCAATTGATGCTAGGGGAGTTAATGTTCAATCTTATACTATTAAATCTTTTTATTAACAACTTGGATTACTACTATTGTTTTATGTTCTATGTCACATGTGTCAAACTTGTGGCATCGTGTTGCCATCATGTGCTGTTTTGCCACGTTTTTCTCATTTGTGGAGCTGGGGTGGGCGTGGCCTGCCCATGATGCATCCAGCCCGTGGGCCACCAGTTTGACACCCTTGTTCTATGTAGATTGTGAGGGATTGCTGATCAACTTTGCAATTGATCTAAAATTAGGTTGGAGCTAATAGCTAATTTCATAGAATACAAATCTAAAATTCAAAACAATAAGTTAGGGAAAATGGCTGGAGAGGACAGAATAAAATTAAATATGCAAGTATCCATTTCTTGACATAAAAATTCTCCACATGGATAAGATGGTAGGTAACTAGCTTGATAAGACTACTTTGAAAGGTCTTGGAGTAATAGAATGTTACCAGAAGAGTCAGCAGTGTGACATGGTCTCTCATACACACTTATGCAAGCAAAAACAAGGGAGGTTTTAGATTTCTTAAAAAGAAGTATGCTTTTCAAATTACAGAAGAATTATTTCACTTTATTCTACATTGTGAACAGACTCCATTTCAAATGTTCTGTCCAGAGAACGGAATGCTTATGAAAAAAAAGGAAAAGTTTAGCATTTAGAAGAATAGAATTGGAAAGTTTAGCCTCTGGAAAAGAAAGCTAAGCACTTTCCATATATTGAAAAGTATGTCACAGAGAAGACCTTAAGTCCAGGACAGGGTAATAGCTTTCTGACCAAATATTAGAACAAATGTCCTAACAAGAAGAGATCACTAATGGTACCAATTGTCCAAAGTATTGATATATTTTTTTCCACTGGTTGTATTGAAGCAGAGGTTAAATAATCATGTTCCTGCACTGGGTAAGGAATTGGCCTTAATGGCTTTATGCCTCCTTTCAGCCTTATGAGTCTATGGATATATAATTTTTCCAGATGGGAGAAATTGGGAATATGTGGTTCTCCAATGCTGACTGGAGATTTTGGGAACTAAATTCAATAATATCTGAAGGATGCAAGTTCCACCATTAGTATAGTCAAGCTGAAGATTTGGATTTTAGCAAAATTGTCTATATTTGGATTATATCTTCATAACATCAGTGTGCTGCAAGAAATTACACTTTTATGGTAAATAAAAATATTAGGAAATATTTATCGCAGAATAAGTTTTCATGGACTACTACCCATAATCTGATGCAGATGATTAAAAGTATGAAAGTTTATGCTGTAATAATGGATTTGTTAATTAACATGACACCAGTCTCTGTTGTATTTTGAGTGTTGTTATTATTAGATACACTTTTATGCTTTCCTGTTAATTGGATAAAAAATGAGGCAGAATGTAATTTGTGTAGTTAAAATGTTATTAGTCATCCCTTTAGATCAATGTTTTTCAATTATAGCTAATTTAAGACTGTGGACTTTAATTGGCTGACTGGGGAATTCTGAGAGTTGAAGTCCACAGTCTTGACGTGGCTAAGGTCGAGAAACACTGCTTTAGACTCTTTCTATGGGTTCTGCTGTACAACACAATGAACTGTTCACTTGCTCAAATTAATCTTAGGGAAGTTGGTCCTTTATATTGTTTGATATGGTAAAGAACTTGGGATTTAATTGAGCAATCCCCACATGAGTTCTCATTTTCCTGTTTGAAAATGAGATTCTGCTACCATTTTTTCCCCAGTTACCTTCCAATAATTTGCAGGCAGCTAAGGTTTGGAGCTTTGTACAGTGGTATATGCTTTATTGCACACCAAATAAGATTTTAGCGTACTTATCAGACCAAGAGAAACATTCACAAAGAAAAAAAATACTCTAAACAGTGAACAGATGACCCTTAACTTTAATACATGGGAAAGAAACAAATAGTGTATTTCAACCTAGTATCATTCCTCCTTGTTGGCTTTTTTCCTGCAGTCTTTGAACTTACTAGCTTTGGAATAAACAAGAACGGTTTTTGGTTTGTTTTGTTTTTCCTTTTTCCATTTCATAGAGGTCTTGGCTCTCCCAGCAGTTTGTCATTAGTATGCAAGCTAATGCCTAACCATGCTATTTTTAGATAGGGAGGGGAGCTGGAAATGTGTAGCAGCAACAGATGTAATTACTTTAAGTGGCATGCTGGCACATTATACACATTGCAAGCCTTTTGAGGTTGCACTTCATCCTAGCACCAAAGTCTTCCCAATTTTTTTGGCCTTTCTCAGTTTGGCCAAACTAACTGTCCTGGGCTTTTGCCTCACACAATGTTCAGCCCAGCCTTCTTCATCTTCATTTTCTTTCCTTCCCCTCTTTCCTGCCTCCTCTGCCAGTTGGCAAAAGTCAACCTTAGACACACCAGGAAAAGGCTTAGCCACCAGTCTGATCTCGCCTGTTCCAAAATCTTGCTTCATCTTCATAAAATTGTGCCCTTATTTAACTGGTTTCCATCTTAGATGTGTTAAGGATATTCCCAGCATATTATTTACAATACTATTCTATATAATTTACATTCCTTTTACCTAGTTCGAGGTTCAGAGGAAATCACTCAGTAGACTGCCTATACTATCTACATAAAGAATACCATAAGGCAGATGCAGCATGTACCTGAGTTCTTCCCCCAAACCTAGGATGTTATAATGTATCGGTGTAGTATTTATGCATATCCAAGCAGTGTATCCTTTTGTAATTGACAGGTGGACATTTTGTCAATGTGCAGTGCTGTCCAATTTGTTTTTGTATGGCGTCTAGTGCACTGATAGCCACTGGGACCACCATGGCTAGTTTATATCATAATCTTTCAATTTTTATTTTTATATCTTGTGAGTTTCTTCAATTCTTTACTTTCTATTCTTCTATCTCCTGGTATTGCCACTTCAATTATCCACACTTTTTTTCTTTTCAAGCATAAGTATGAACCAAGACTATGTCTGTTTGTATTCAGAAACCGCACAATATCTGCTCATTTTCAACTATTTTTTAAACTTGAAGTTGCCACTGATTTTTTCATTACTCCACGTGATAATTTTTCACATTGGCGACCGTATTATGTCATTGTTTCTAATCAGTTTCTGTGACCTAGTATGAGCTGAGTAGATGAACTACTGTTTCTTCTGCTTCTTTGCACAACTTTTATTTTGAATAATTGGAATCACTATTATTATTAAAATTTATTAGCTGACCAACTCTAAGGGAATCATGATTATTAGTGGTTAAAAATGGTTTGCATTTTCAAGCAACTTAGGCATCATTTTATTCTTCTGCTTGTTTTTCTCCCTGCATGTAAATGTAGAACCCCGGAGCTATGTGGAATCTGTGGCTCGTACAGCAGCAGCAACAGGCAGTAGTGGTGGGAGTGGAAGCAGCATTGTTGGGAAGCCTCAGCCATCTTTGGCTTCAGAGACCTACAGCACTGAGACACCTATAAAGAATGAGTCCCTCAGCAACTCCTTCACCTTGCCTAGCCCAGCTTCTGCCAGCAGCCCCATACATAGCATGGATGGGTAAGTTGCAGGAGAAACATGGCTGTCGGATACATGGAACTGCCCTCTGTGAGCAGGATTGTCAGCTTCAGAAACATCTTGATTTAGATCCTGGGCTGCCACAGGCTGTGGGAATGGGAGAGTAGAAAAGGAGTATAGCCACAACAACATTATTTCACCAGGAATCAAGGACAAGTTGCTGGCACCTGGAGGGGAGTGACTGGAATTTGGCGGCAGATGAGAAGGGAGGTCGATTGGTTAATGTGACCTGGGAGTCACTAAATGGGGCAGGGTATGAGCTATAGTTTGGATGGGGGGGGGGAACATGAGAATTTAGATTCGGCTTTTCCCCAGATGTGCCAACATGACTTATCTAATAAATTCTTACTTTGATGGACTTTGCCTCGGGTTTCTGAATTGTCTGGAGGGTTCACTTGGAATGCTGACAAAGATCAGTGGAATGAAGGTGTGGAAGAACAATTTATCCTTGGCTTCGATTATTGTAGCACTGGAATAAGACAAAAGAGAGAGAAAAGTTTGCTTTAATGTCAGAGGAATGGGGTATTCTTTTCTTTTCCTTTGCTTATGTTCATCCACTAATGATCCAAGAGGAAGGGCATTATTTGTGCACAATAAAAAAAGATAATATCTACAAAAGTGAAGGAACTTGTTTTCCCAAAATAGGACATGTGAAATTGTTCCCAATTATGATCAGGAGAAATGTTTTGTAGAGTAGGAACCTCATCAGAGCTTCTTCAATAACTGTATGTTATCTTGCTCCTTCTTGTAACATATGCTTAGCTGTCAGGACAGTGTGCCAAATTCAACTAGTTAATTATTTCCCTCAGGAGAAAACTTTTGGAGATCAGAGCAGTGGGTGGTACCAGAATGGAGAAAGAAGTTTCTTTTTCCTCCATTCCTTTAGTTCTCTCTCATTCACCCACTTTCACCTTTCCCAGAGGGAAATCAAGTTACACAAATTTCCTATCTGAATTCCAAATCAGGGCTCTCCAAACTTGGCAACTTTAAGACTTATGGATTTCAACTCAGCTGGCTGGTAGAGGAATTCTGGGAGTTGAAGTCCATAAGTCTCAAAGTTGCTTAGTTTGGAGACTTCCTGTTCTAAATCAACATATGTTAAAGGCTTAGGAAATGAAACTGAAGGCTGCATATACTCCAAAAGCCCCTGATTTTGTGAAGAATTCATGGAGCACTATGTTTATGCCAAACGTCTTGTAACTTCAAATGCTATTCCAGGCTATGAATGAATCCCTTCATAAAGTACTTTAATACGTTTCTTTGTTTCCTCCAGGATCTCTATTGGTAGTTACCCATCAGAAAACAGTGCCAGCATAGCCATTTCCTCCCATCCATCTGCCGAGTCCAGCTTCCAATCCACTAATCTTTCTCAGGGTCCTTCAGCACACAGCAGTTACCAAAATACATCTACATCAACTCAGGGCCTGCCGGTCTCTATGAATGCCGACTTCCCTGATGGCCGAACCAGCGCTCAGCAAGATAACCATTCAAGGCCTCAAGCCCAAATCATTGCATCTGGGGTCCAAGTCATGCCTGGAAGCCCACACGCCCTTCATAGAACAGTAGCTACCAATACTCCCCCTAGCCCAGGTTTCGGGCGAAGAACTGTTAGCACAAATATGGTGGCCATTCCAGGAAGCCCAAGCATGAACAGGCACTTAATGGGTCCCCATAGCACTGTTGTTTCATCACCTGGGAGTCCAAGCCATGCTCGTCACCAGCCCTTAGCAGGGGGTAGCACAGCCATGATTTCTGGGAGTCCCAGTCTGGACCGACACATGATATGTGGGTGCTCAACTCCAGAGGAAAAGCAACAAACACTGTCTCGCCAGAGCAGTGCTTCAGGTTATCAAGCTCCCTCTACCCCATTATTTCCTGTCTCCCCCGCATACTATCATGGAATTAGCCCACATTCCTCTTCCCCTGACTCGGCAGTATACAGACAGGGCAGCCCCACCCCACCCCAACAATTGCTCCCTGAGAAAAGAAGGATGTCGTCGGGGGATCGATCCAACAGCCTGCCCAACTATGCTACAGTGAATGGCAAGACTTCATCACCCATTTCCAGTGGCATGTGCAGTCCCAGCAGTGGGAGCAGTATGGCCTTTCATCACACTCTGCCAGATTTTTCCAAATTTTCAATGCCAGGTAAAACTTCTTTCATGTTCTTTCTCACTGGAGAGTTAAGAATACAGGTAGTTCTCGACTTACGACCACAATGGAGCCCAACTCTTCTGTTGCTAAGCAAATCAATTGTTAAAGGGAGTTTTGCTCCGTTTTACAACTTTTCTTGCCATAGTTGTCAAAAGCAAATCACTGCAGTTGTTTCATTGGTAAGACAGTTGTGTTAAGCGAATCTCTTTTCCCTCTTGACTTTGCTTGTCAGGTCACAAAAGCTGATCACATGACCCCAGGACATGGCAACCATCATAAATATGAGCCAGGTGCCAAATGCCCGAGTTTTGTTCATGTGACCATGGGGATGCTGCAATGGTTTTAAGTGTGAAATTGGTCATAAGTCATTTTTTTTCAGTGCCATTGTAATTTTAAATGGTCACTAAGCAAATGATTATAAATCGAGGACTACCCATAGGGGATGATAGGAAAGGTTCTCCAACTTTGTGGTAACTTGATTTCCTTTCAGCAAATGAACTTGTGGGATATCAAGCTAAACAAGTATATAAAACTGAATTTATCAGAAGACTACAACGACCTGCTTTAGATAAACTAACAAGCAGAATCCCAAGAAAGTTTACACAGTACCTCCAGTTTCTACACAAGCCTTAACAGATTTAAATATCAAAGTTCCTCAACGCCATCAAGAGCTCCCATACCACAGTTTGAGAACCCTCAAGTTGCTTTCTTATCTTTCTTTCTATTTGCTCTTCCTGTCAGTACTTAATGAATGATCACCATTAAGAATTTTCTTAATATAACCATAGTTTTGTATGTGCTTTGCAATGAGAGAGGACTAGTGTTTGCTAAATATCAAGTATCAAGGACATACATTATGGATTTTTTTTTTGTTCATTTAGGACAGGAGTGTCAAACTCAATTTCATTGAGGGCCGTATCAGGGTTGTGTTTGATCTTGGGGGGGGGAGTTGGTTGGGGGCGTGGCCAGGATGGGCGTGGCCAGCTTGACCTCACTCATCAACGCTCCGTTTTCAACCACAACAGCCTCTTGCAGCCCTTTGCCAGCGAAAACAGAGCATGCGGCCTCCCCGGGCCTCTGTTTTCGCTGGCACAGGGCTGCAGGAGGCTGTCGCAGACGAAAACAGAGCCCAGGTGGGCCTCCCTGAGGCCCGTTTTCACTAGCAGAGCAACCGCATACCGGTCCTTCGCTGTTTACAGGGTGGCTCTGTGGGCCAGATTTAAGCACCCTGCAGGCCGGATCCATCCCTGGGCCTTGAGTTTGACACCACTGATTTAGGAGAAGTGTTCTTAAAACTTTGGAAGAATAGGTCCACAGCTGATCTGCAGCAATGGGTTGCTAGTATGAGTTACTTAGCAGTGTTTCATTAACTTCCTTTCCACAGAGGGGCAAGAAAAATGAATTTTTAACTATCAAATTTTATAGCATTGCTTTGTTTTATAATATTTCCAGGGCTTTTATTCCACTCAGCCATCTCTTTCCAATTTTAATCTTACATTATTTTGCCTGTTTATAACAGTAAGTGTATGAGGTGGTTTTTAACACTGAATAATGAATTTGATATTTCTAATTGTTTTTGGCAAGACTATATCATCACTGTTATTTTTTTCCTTAATAAATACAGGAGAAGCTATGGATTATCAATTTTACTGGTAATCATAGTTTCATAAAATCAATTATTTTAGAATAATGAACTTTGATTAAAATTGGGTTGAGTGCATGGTAGCTGAATTCAAATGACAACTTTTAATAGAGTGTGCAAAGCCTGGTTATTTGTAGTGATTTAATTTTTCTGTCATTGTGCAAATTGTGTGAACTCAGATTGGTCAATGTACTTTTCAGTATCCTTTGCAAACTCAGAAACAGATTAATTTGGTAAGCATGTTGAGCATATTTCCAAATCCAGCCCACAAAATTTCTGTTGCACACATGTGTCAGTTCTGTCTTGTTTCTCTTTTCATGTTTCTTAGACAGCAGTCCTGAAACAAGAGCAAGTGTAAAGTTCGTCCAGGATACCTCGAAATACTGGTACAAGCCAGAGATCTCCAGAGAACAAGGTGAGGTTTTTGTTTTTTTTAATGGCTCACTGAAGCTCCTTAACAGTTAGAAAAAGTTCTGGCCAGCATGTGATTTTCTTTTGTTTCCATAGAAACAAAACAACCACAAAACTATGAGGAACACTAAATGATCAGTTCGAACACTTATTCTCCAAGAACCCTCAATGGTGGCAGGATTTATAATAACTCTTTTTGGATCTCTGTGGATATCTATAGTTCTTCTGAGATACAAGATAGAAAGAATAATTAACTTCTAGTTTTTGCAGCTTTTGTGATAAACTTACCTTTACAAGTTGGCAAAATAATGTCAGTGATTAGGTATACTGCAGGATTCAAACTTGGGAGGGGTCCCTCCCTCCCTCCCTTCCTCCCTTCCCTGACCAGAGTGATAACCCTATCACCTTGTGTCACCTGCTTCTTTTCTTGTTCTGCCACAAATAGAAAAATTGGGTTTTGTTTGTTTGCTTGTTTATTTCTTTTTATAATGTCCCTGTAAGGTCATTTTGTGTCACTTACAGGTTATAAAACAAATAGAAAAATAATTAAAACATATTAAAATATTAAAGCTACACAAATTAAAATTTTAAAAGCCAAAACTAAAAAACAGCATGGAGATGAGATCTTATCCTGTCAACTATCTTCAGCGGTGAGCGTCTCCCTCAATGATATAGATATTTACTCTATAATTAAGAAGTTAAGATTTCATAGAAGCATTGTCTTGTGGAAATAGGGACAATCAACCACAGGTTTAATAAGTACATATTTCAGTTCCTTTGAGTGACACATAGCTGTGCACATAGAGTTCAGAGGCAATGACTGGTAAATGGAACACACTCACTGAAGTAAGTAAGCATGGGCCCTGTCTCTCATCACATTGAAGCTATAATAAAACCTCGATTGAACCGTTCATTTGTAGAGAGGCATATCTGCTAAAGCCAAATCTAGGTTAAATCCCAAAATATGATTTGCAATAATTTGTGTCATTGCATAGAAATTAATTGCATAATGAACACAAATAAATGTAGAAACATAAAAACATCAATGATGAAAATGACATCAGTTGAGACAGAGGACATAAATTCTGTCCATATTCTAAACCCTTTCAGAAATAACAGATGTCAGTCAAAGTCCAAAGTAAATTTTTGTTCACTGCGTCCAAAAAGTCACTGAAGGGAGATCTGTAGAACTGAGTGTTTAATTCTTAATATATTCTTCCATTTTAAAAAAGTACACTTCTACATTTGAATTGGTTAGCAATTGAGTATGCAAGGGTATCTCTCCCAACTCAGGATAGCATGGTCTAAAGGTGTACAAAACAGATTGGCCCCCATTTCAACTTTCAGGATGGCAACCTTCTATCCCCAGCTCGTGCTGATAAGCTGCCTGCCTGTTGTATAATTGGGAGTGAGCCCTTTAAAAGAGTAAGTTCTGTCAGCAGCCATTCTTTTCATCCATTCAACAGCTGAAGCACTTGGCACATCCCTCATTTCCTTCATATCTCCCCTTTCAAGGGTAGAGTGACTGTTACTCAATGAACATTGGCACTGCTTCAGATCAGATTCTCAGGGACAGGGTCATTCATGTCCCTGCTGTAATTCAGGCTTCCCAGAATCAAACCAACAAAAGAGCTTTCACATTTAAATCTTAGAAGTCGATGAGAAAATCCCCCCTTAAAGGAGGGGCCATGTTTGCTCCTTATTCATGACATTGCTAAGGATATGCATTTTTCACTCTCCACTGAATGCTGCTGTTTTTGCTCCCTCCCCAAATTATACAACTGGCAACATTATTCATGTAGGCCAGACAAGGAATAATGGATGGAAACTGAACAAGGAGAGATTCAACCTGGAAATAAGGAGAAACTTTCTGACAGTGAGAACAATCAACCAATGGAACAGCTTGCCCTCGGAAGTTGTGGGAGCGCAATCACTTGAGACTTTCAAGAAGAGATTGGACTGCCATTTGTCAGAAATGGTGTAGGGTCTCCCGCTTGGGCGGGGGGGTTGGACTAGATGACCTATAAGGTCCCTTCCAACTCTGATTATCTGTTATCTGTTATCACAACCGCCTTAATCTCCAGATGTTACATGGGAGACTTATAAAGGTGAATTCATCTCATCTTCCCCCCCCAAAAAACCTGACCTATAAGACAGACAAGAAACAGATAAACAAAGTTGGTGTCCCAACCAAATGGCTTTGGGCAGGGCAATCACATCTAATATTTTGGAGATCTCTAACAATTGAGCTCCCAAATTATCTAAAACAATGTCAGTACACATTGAACAGAGTAGAATAGAGAAACTTTTTATTTGTTTCCCAGACTTGTTGCCTTTCCTATGGAGTAACGGGCTTGTTATGCCAACTTGGGGCATATATACATTTATCCCTCTACTGAGAGTATGTCTGGTGCTCTAAAGGTGGTGGGCTTTAATGAAAATAATTCTTCCCCATTATTCCTTGGCAATGCCCATGGGTGTCTCTCTCTGTTTGGCATTAGAGAGGTATGAGATGCAGATGTTTCTGTAAGGGGTAGGAAGAAGATTCCAAGTTTGCATCTCTTCCTCCAAAATCAGAGCTTTCTCTCTCTCTTTCTGTCTGCCCGTGCAAGAAAATAGCCAATCTATTCTGAGGTTTCCTTATCAAACCTGGGAAGAAATGCTAATGAAGCCAACACAGATTATTTCTTAAAAGTTTAGGAATAGCAGAGTGACAGATGTAAAATACATGGAAAATTTTGCCCTGTTAGAAAAGGTTACAACACAGGGGACTTTCTGATTTACAGAAATGTTGATGGGGGATAGGACATGTTAAAGGTGGGAGATTCTGTTATAAACCTCATAGTGGTACCATAAAACAGGGGTGGGATTCTACCAGTTCAGACCGGTTTGGGTGAACCGGATGTTAAATTTGCATCTGGTTCGCCGAACCGGTATTTGAACCACCCAGCTGGCCTCGCCCTCCCCACCCCGCCCCTCCCAGGTATCTTCACACAACCCATTTTCAATGCAGGTAAGTGCAGGGTCCATGTGGAGGCTCTGGGAGGAGGAAAAACGGGCCTTCCAGAAGTCCAGAAATGGGCCTGTTTCTGGCTTCTGGGGGGCCTCCAGAGCCCGGGGAAGGCCATTTTCACCCTCCCAGAGGCCTGAGGGAAGCCTCTAGACTCTTGGGAAAGTGAAAAACGGCCCTCCCAGAAGTTGCAATAGGCCATGCCCACCATGGCTACGCCCATCCAGCAACTGGGCAGCGAACCAGTTGCTGGGATTTTTTTAATCCCACCCCTGCCATAAAAGTTTGAAAGATTCTCTAGTTCCTGACATTTTATGTTTATTTCACAATGACAAGGAACCTGAGATTTATTAGATACCCTCATTATGCCTTGTTGATTGGAGGGGGGAAGCAGTAATGTATTTAATAGGAGCATATCTAGTACAGATAGTCCTCAACTTGCAACCACAATTGACTACATTTTTCCATTGGTAAGCAAGGTAGTTGTTAAGTGAGTTTTGCCCCACTTTATGACCTTTCCTGTCACTGGTTTTCCCCAATGACTCTGCTGGTCAAAAGGTCGCAAAAGGTGATAACAAGGTAACTCCAGGACACCACAATGGTCATAAATACATACCAGTTACCAAGCGGCTGAATTTTGATCATGTGACCAAGGGGATGCTGTAACGGTCGCCAGTGTGGAAAATGGTCATAAGTCACTTTCTTCTTTACACCAAGATTCCTATTATTCACTGTTTTTCTTATTCAAGGTTTAGATCTGTTGATGTTCACGTAGTGTGCTCTACTTCTTTCCCAGCCATTGCATTGCTAAAAGACAAGGAACCGGGGGCCTTCATCATTCGAGACAGTCACTCTTTCCGGGGAGCCTATGGACTGGCCATGAAAGTAGCTTCACCACCTCCAGGTGTTATACAGCAGAGCAAGAAAGGTAGAGCCATTCACACAACTACCCACTACCCCCTTGCCTTCTTGGAACATGTGCCCAGTTTCACTCCACATGGGAGATATTTGAGCTAGGACCAGCAAAGGTGTTATTGTTGGATGATAGAAAAACCCAGGTTTTAATCCCAGGGAAATATATCCTATAATTGCAACCCCAGAAAGAGGTTGCAACCTTTAGTAAGAGACTAAGCTGTTTGTAAAGCATGAGAAATCTAGAAGGTGCTTTTTCCAAAAGGCAACTCTGCTTTTCTTTGAAGATGTTTCGCTTCTCACCCAAGAAGCTTCTTCCATTCTGACTGAATGGTGGAGGATGGAGGGATTTATATTCCTTGCAGTCCAGAGGACTAACGACCAGATGACTGCAAAGAATATCAATAGTTCCATCTTCCACCATTCAGTCAGAACTGAAGAAGCTTCTTGGATGAGAAGCAAAACGTCATCAAGGAAAAACGAAGTCCAGTTGCCTTTTGAAAAAAGCACCTTGGGGACAAGCATGATCTGGATGACTGAAAATCTCCACAGACATGAGAAATCTGGGATTGTAATTTATGGAATCATAAAACTGGTTGGAGATTTTCTAATCCAAGTTAACTTTATTCACGGTAAAAGCTTTTCCTCAATCTGAACTATAAACAGCGATGGCAGCCTATGAGCTGACACAGGGAATATATTGTTGGGGACAAACTCATTCTTTTATTGTGCTAGAAATAGCTGGTTTTTAGCTTAGGCTGTCTTTTAGGTGGCGATTTATATGAAAAGCTTAATTAAAGCCATCTATATTAAAATTCTGATTGATTCCTTTAAGGAGATATCACCAATGAGCTGGTAAGACACTTCCTGATAGAAACCAGCCCTAAAGGTGTGAAACTAAAAGGATGTCCCAATGAACCCAATTTTGGTGAGTGCCTACAATTTTGTATTCATAACTTCTATCTCATCCTGCCCTCTTGTGGAATCTGTAGCAACGACATGTGTACTTTTTAGACTTTCCAAGTAAGGAACAGGGAATATTTAACTGGCATGAATCTACTAAAGCTTCTTGGTTACATTGTCTAAACTTCTGAAGTCTCAGAAATTCAGTCAAGGTTGTTTGCAAAAACAGAAAGCATTATTGTACCATATGTGTCTCTTTTAAGCATAAATGAACATGATACAATTGTAGTGATACTATTTAGTATTGCATGTGTTGTATTAAGGTCATTTAATTTCATCTTCTCGCCAGAATAGGTCTTGTTTCCTTTGTTTGCAAATATTCTCAGTCCTTTCACTCTTCTAAATTAATGGTGATGAATTATTCTTTGTCAGAGTGAAAGTGAATATTCTATTCTTTGCCAGCATGAATTATGCTATGTGATACCAAGCATAGCTTGCTTGCTTGTTTATTTATTTATTTAATCAAAATTTAAAAACTCCAATCTCTTTGACAGTGGTATGCTGGGCAGTGTAGAAATAAAATAAACAAGTTTATAAACTTTATGTCATACATTCATTAAGTTTATATGCCACCCATTGCACTATCCAAAGCTTAGTTTGCGAATTGACTTTGTACGTAGATATTTCTTGATTCTGCTTTGAACAACGGATTGCCCAAAGAATTTTGTGGTCTTAAATGCAATTAAGATGAAATGTAACCAACCTGTTTTAATATGAGTCTCTGCACATTTAAGCTTTGTTTAGTGAACATCCCATTTATTTGTATTGTGTGAGCATACGCAAGGAATGCAGAATACAGTTGGAGAAATATGCTTCATAAATATGTAGCTATTATTTTTGGAGTGGGCAGCCCTAATAAATTTAAATAAACAAATACCTCAGTTTATATGGTTACCTATCTTACTGTTGAGACTCTGGGCCATGAATAAATAAATACATAAATTGCAACCATCCCCAAACTCTGTTATATATGCCTGGTGGCATAGCCAGATCTTTAAAGCCATACAAAAGGCAATCAGAGTTGGGATTAATTTAACCTCTGGGTGGTTGATGTTCCCAAAAGAGGTGCCATGACTGGATAACATCCTCGGTTGCCTTTAACTTTGACCAGATCTCTTTTTCCCTTTCTAGGTTGCCTCTCTGCTCTGGTGTATCAGCACTCAATCATGCCTCTGGCATTGCCTTGTAAGCTGGTCATTCCTGACAGAGGTAGAGTTCCCTGCATTATTACATGGCATAATGTCATTTTATAGAGTATTTCATCCTGGCGAGTACAGGGACAACACCAAGAATGTTTGAAGTTAGTTTTAATTTCAGAAAAATAGAGGCAACAGCAAGAATATTCTGCAAATGGAGGGGAACAGAGATTAGGTAGAGTGTATCATGTTATGAGTCAGTTGTGTATCCTTAGGGATTCAGGTACAGAAAGTTTTTTATTCCAGAGTTAGCAACCATGCTGCATACATAGAGAGGAAAGCTGATGCCAAATACTGCTTCAGCACTAGTCCACTGCTATAATCTGCTGATTATAAATAGGAGGGCATCTTCAAAAATGACAGGGGAAGGGTAGGATGGGGGAGGATAATATAATATGTTATCACTGCAAAACCCATAATTCATTACTTCTCTCCTTGCACCATCATTTCTCTGTCATTATGGGTACTTAGGATAATTTGTATCTCACCCAACCAGCCCAGTTGTAAATCTTCAAAAGCTAAACCAGACAAAAAGGACTGCTCACAAGCTGTACATTACTCTTGAATAGAGATTACTCATGCACATTGAAACTTTTCCATGCATGGAAGTATTTCTATACCAGCCTAAACTGAACAATTGGATGTTCAGTTCATGAGGATTCTAAGGCTCCTCATTCTCTAAGGAGGATTCCTTGGGATGGCTTATAATAACACAGTTTGGAAAGTTGTCACGAGGATTTAGCAGATACTGCGATGATATTGAAATATTGGTAAATTTGCCCCTGGACACAGGTATTATTTATTTTTCTAATATAAAATATTTTATACCCATTGTAATTAAAACAGAATTAAAATATTCTATTGTTTTAATTATGTTTATTGTATACAAAATACAATACAATTTATTTATACAATAAACATACGAACAATAGAATATTTTAGAAAAAATGGAAATAACAAAAATAAACATTGTGGGAGTTGATCATATTGAAAGAAAGTTGGGACAAATAACTTTTCAATTTTGAATGCAAGTATTTGGCATTTCTCTTGGGAGTTTGTTTCACAGAGCATGTGTCAGCGAACAGAATTCTCATCTCTGCACTACAGCTCAAGAATATAATCCATCTGTGGTAAAGGCAGGGGGATCTCTTCTCTAGATATTCATACAGTGACATAGAAAGCTTCTTTGAAATTCCTACTTGGGTCAAGATGTCCCAGTTAGAAATCCCAAAATCATTTTTCTTCAAACAGACATGAGCCTTTAATCAGATGGTTAAGGGAGTACACAAAAGTTCCATATGTTAGTCTTTCCCCAAGTTCATGCACTTCCAGCAAGAACTACATTGGGGATTGCTGACTTATAATGAGGGAGCAGAAGATAAGAATCTCTCCATATTTATTAAAGCATCAGCAATTGCCATGTCCCATAAACAAATTCTACTGGCACATAGTTAATTGAAAGCCAGATATATATTTTAGTCCAAAACAGTTGAGTGGTTTTTTTGTGGCATTCATGTACATTGTTTCCATATAGCCCTTAAGAGCCATTAAAACATTATCTTTTGGTACTTCCAGAGGAGGTCAGAGATCAGGAGAAAGAAGAAGAATTAAGCAAAGCAATAAAGACTAAGGAACTGTCCCAAAAGTGCTCCCCTCACCCCCGCAAACAGCTGAATTTGTTTTTTCCTTGAAGTTTTGCTTCTCATCCAAGGAGCTTCTTCAGCTCTGACCAAATGGCGGAGTAAGGAAGGATTTCTATTCCTTGCAGTCATCTTCTGCTTAGCTTTCTTTTGAGAGTGTTGAGGTCACTTGAAGGTTTATCTGTGCCCTCAGGGTCATCTGAATAATGCAAATGGGCATGGAGCCTTTTTGGAACTGCTGAAAGGATTGTATTGTAAGCAGGACATAGGTGGTGTGTACCCCTCCCCCGCTGTGGACAGAGGGCTGTTAATGTAGATGGCCTTTTCAACCCCTCTTTCAAACCAGTAGTCCTCTCTGAATCTAAAATGTGGACTCAGTCAAAATAAACAGATTTATTTTGGCTATCCTGTCTATTGCAAGTCATAGTAAAAGCCCCTCTCTGAGAGAAATGGATGGTTAAGATCTGTAAAATAATAAATAAAACATAATAAATAAATAAATAAATAAATAAATTGTAAGTGATGATTTTAGAAATTGAACACCAGAGGGTGCTAAAGATTTTAAGGAGGAGAAAAAAAATGCAAGCTTCCTCTTGATGTCATTTAATACTGGGACTTAAAAAATGGAAATACAAAACTTTATAGTAACATCAGTTATGTTAAAGGAGCACTTTGAAGAATGGAGCCCCAAATTATAACTACAATATCAACACTGTCAGTAATGATGTCTGCTTCTCTGAATAGATTATGTTTAAAATGTCAAGCTTCAAAAACCGAGAAAGACTTTGCTGAGGTTCTTCTGAACAGTTTCTTTTATTGAGCCCTATCTATAGGCAGAAATCTTGCCAAGCTAAGGCAAATGACTTGCATTATTAACGTTATATTCTGAGAACTCCTAGGTAGAAGCTGCATTAACTCTTCCTCCCAACAAAACTATCTAAACTTCACCGTTTCTTGCTCCTCTGGAATGCAGTTCCTCCTTCCTGGGAATCTGTATTACATTCCACCATAAAAAGTTGTTAATGAAGGAATGACAGATGCAGAACAAATCTTTACTAAAAACGCAGAGAAAGTACAGAGTGTGGAACCACAAATGACAGGCCAAGAGAATGATTTGGAAAAGGATGCTTTTGTGTACAAAAAAAAAAAAAAACCTGGCTGAACTTTTAAACATTCAAAGGGAAATACAGATGATAAATTAAAAGAGTGGCCTGGAAAATGTGTTCTTATTTCATGTACATTCCATCTAAAAAGAGCCTGAATCTTTGTAATGGGATAAAGAATTGAAGAGAAATCAAATTCAGCAACAATATTTGATGGAATGTTTGAATTAAAATTTAAGACTGTTAAAAGTAAAAGAAAGAGAGCATAAAGTTGGCTTTAAAAGCTCAAAATAAGACATATTTTTGCAATACTCTGGCAACTGTTTATAAACTTTGTGTTGACACCAGAACTGGAAAGATGATGTTTTATGGGTTTGTTTGTAGATAAGGAGTCTGATATGGGATAAAGAGCTATTGTTTAATTTTATAGGGAGTAAAAGATTATTAAATTTGTTTATACTTGTTGTGAGGAAAGTTGGAAGTGACTTCTTTATGTATTGTTTTCTTTTTCTTTATTATATTATTCTTTCTTTTTCTTTTTTTCCTGTGCTTTTTATTCTTTCTTTGCATTATCTTTTCTTTCTCTAAGTTTAGTTTGTATAAATTTTTACTACTGTAATTAAAATTAATAAAATTAAAAAATTAATACCGATTATATTTAAATATACTGTCTTTGGATCCCAGCATTGTAAATCAAGACATTCCCCTTTTAAGTTTATTTAGTTGTCACCCTTTTATTCAGTTCCATAAATCTGAAATGAAAATGAATGTTCTCCATAAATATACATTGTTAGATATAATCCAGAAAAATAACATAGATGCGTATTTATAGACAATAACCCCCTCTGTGTTTTTATTTGAAGATCCTATGGACGAAACAAAAGAAACAACATCATCCAGCAGCTCAGCAACTGATTTGCTCAAACAGGGAGCAGGTGAGCAATTTAAGATTACTCATTTTGAACGAATTGAAATGAAAATCAAAGGCACCCTAAATGATTAGGATGTTAGATTATTGCCCAGAATTTGCAGGTTCAAACTCGTATAAAGCCAAGAAAGTGCACTGAATCACTAAGCCAACCGTTTAATCTGAGCTCAGTTACCTCATGGAGCTGGGTTTGAGGGTAGAATTGAAGAAAGCTCCTGAAGGGACAGTAAGAATCCAGTCAGTGAATGAAAGAATTTCTCATTTAGATTTATTCTGACTAGTGGGAGTCTTGTGTTAAACTTTCCCATCCCAAACTGTTTTTGATTCTGACACTGAAAAAAAAAATGGAAATAATGTGAAATGTGGTCAGGTACTAAATTCGTATTATTGTTTCCTGTGAAAAAGAAAATCATGACATATATACATCACTCTTCCCTCGTTTAGCGTTCATCAGATGAGTTATTGGTATTCATCATAGAATTTTTGGTTAGCATAGCCAAAGAGGAATGTTGATACATGTTACTTTCCTTGTAGTACAAACAGCAGTGTATTGTATACTTCAATGTTTGGTAATTATTCTTCATTTTACCATACCAAAAATGTTGGCCTCAATTTCCCTCTTTTCTCCCACAGCCTGCAACGTGCTGTTTATAAACTCGGTGGAAATGGAATCATTAACAGGCCCTCAGGCCATCGCCAAAGCAATCACTGAGACATTGGCTGCTGACATCCCTCCCTCTGCCACTATTGTCCACTTCAAAGTCTCCACACAAGGCATCACCCTGACAGACAACCAGAGAAAGTAAGGGAACAGGATGGGGGAAGGGTCAGGGTTTGGAGAAACCTGGGTGCATCCAATACTAGCATCTTCTTTGTCACAAGTTCCTCAGTGCATTTTTCATTTCACTACAATATTTCTTAGCATCATGTTGCAGAGTTCTCTGGCCACATTGAGTGAAATAATTAATATGTGCAAGGTATCAAAAAAGGTCAGGGTATTTTGAACAAAGTAAATCTCTACCAAGAAGTGTTTCATCAGTTGGATATTAAACATATAAAGCCCATCCAGGTCCTACAGTACTGTGACTATCTGCCATCTTATCAGAACTTTCCCTCTTGCTCATGTAGATGAGCTTCCTTGGGGTGGTTTAGTTCTTTTTGTGCATGGATTCACCTTCCTTCAATTTCAAATGGCTGTAGAATTAATGCTTATCCCCATTTCTGTTTCAGACTGTTCTTCAGACGACATTACCCTATCGTTACTGTCACCTTCTGTGATGTGGACCCACAGAACAGAAAGTAAGTGAAGCTGTTTGCTAAATTCTTACGTAAACTTCAAGCAATAAACCTTCCAGAAGCAGTATGGGCATGGTCCTCTTATTTTTATTCTCTGTGTCATATATATCTTTAAAGAGTTTTAATCAGAGTTTAGCATTTGAAACAGCAACATTGAAAGAAGAAGTAAAATCCATCGTGAATGAAAAACAAGGTGTTTTGGTATATTAAAAATCTAGTGGAGATGGAACCAATTAAAATCTCTTTAGGATATTTTACAACCAAAAAGACACCTCTAAAAAGATTCTGCCACTTCTGAATTGGGAAAAGTGCCTCTACTCCATTGAAGAAACACCTTTATTCAAGGGGTTAATATGTGAGGTCCTTGGTACTGATATTACTAGTTTGGGTAATGAAATGTCAGCAAGAAAACAAATTCAGAGAGGACCAAGGACCCCTCATTTCAATTCTGAGCTACAAATATTTTCCTTTATTGGGTTAAAATGTGTTTAAAATTATCTAATTTGTCCTAATTCCAGACCTTCTGTAAATATCAAGAGTGATCACTATGAGCTACAGTTTCTACCTGAACGCATTGAGAGATGGAAATGACAAGACGTGTTTCTGTATCAGAATGATAAAAGCCATTGGCTGGAATGGAAAGATAGGAACATATAATGGAGAAAAATGGGAAATTGCCCAGGACAGGATTCTTGGAATCCTATTTTCATTTGTGCTCTTGAAAGGAACTAATCATTCTTGCGGACTCTTTGTTTCTGTATTTGAGCAGAAACCTCTGTAATTAAACATCTGTTCCCCTATGTTGCTACTGCCAGATCGCTTTGATTTCCAAGAAATGAGATTGTTCCATGTTGAAGCAAATATGCAGGAAATTATCAACAGCAGTGGAGATTTACAGATGTCTCCCACAACTTGTTTCTGCTCTGCAGAGAACTGAATTGCCAATGAAGAACAGAGAATTGTTCATCTGTTTCTTTGCAAAGTAATGATAACTCAGTTTGAGATCAAATGCATCTAAAATGCTGACTTTTGCTCATTATAGGTCAATGAAGTTGCAGGCTTATGATAGAGAAGGACTGAAAAAATACACCATTGTTCATTTATTTTTTAATTGTCACTAAGCATTGTAGTGAAATTTCAGGGTTGAATTTTAGAATATTTCTAAAAGTCAGATCATGATACTTTTTAAGCAACAGATAATTTCTCAGAAGAGTTAAGAGACAAGGGACAAGATTTTCAAACAGTAGGGAATTATAAGAGGATTTCATCCCCTTTCCTAGTTGTTGTAGTCATTTATTTACAAAAGAAAGGATCTTTTGTCAACGAATCAGTGGAATTCCATTCAGAGCTTCCTACTCTCTTAGATACACCCTGTATTTAACTCACCATTTTAAAAAAGTGTCAATTTTTCCTCCATGTAAAAGTTAAATAGAGCTTTTTGTTTATTTCTCCACAGGTGGACTAAATCAGAATCTGGTGGTGCTGCCAAGTAAGTTGTTACTTTGATTAATGTCAACCTTAGGACATATTTTACACATTCACACACATTAGGACATACTTTCTTCTGTGGCTCATAATCCATCCTGTTAAACCATCTCCAATGGTTCCTGATAACATGTTCATAACATGTTCACGGTGGCACAGTGATTAGAGTGCAGTACTGCTGCCTGCTGCCTGCCTGCAATTTGGCGGTTCAAATCTCACCAGGCTCAAGGTTGACTCAACCTTCCATCCTTCCAAGGTGGTAAAATGAGGACCCAAATTGTTGGGGGCAATATGCTGACTCTGTAAATTGCTTAGAGAGGGCTGTAAAGCATTGTAAAGCGGTATATAAATGCTATCGCTATTGCTACATAACCACAGAGTGAAATCAGCTATCTATCATAATGTGAAGGAACTTTATAGCTTTGGGTAGATAGCTCAGAGATAATTAATTCTGTATGAATATTCTAAGGAAAACTCTTCTGGCTGAATGTTCTATTTTCTGTGAATTCTCAGGATTGCTTGGATTTCATGTATTGTTCACTTAAGAAAAATACATAATACACATAATATGTCGCTTCATCTACAGTGGAAATTTTTATTAGATGAATAGTGATATGAAGCACATATTAATTAAGGGCAGTTTCTCTTGAGTCCTTGTGTGTTTCAAATGGCATGGTAGAAGGAATATCAAGAGTTTTACCTGATACATGTGTAAAGCATGGTAGTGGTCACAAGTAGCACCGGGCAATTCTTGTCTTCTCTTGGACCAGCACGATTTTATCGCTCCTTAATTTCTTTGTCATCCTACAGACTCTTTGGCTTCGTGGCTAGGAAGCAAGGCAGTACGACAGACAACATTTGCCACCTCTTTGCTGAGTTGGACCCAGATCAGCCAGCGGCTGCCATTGTCAATTTTGTTTCCAGAGTTATGCTTGGCTCCTCTCACAAGAGATGAACTGTGGCTTCCCCCTTTGCAGGGGGCTTCTTGCCCTTGAATTTTGACGAAGGACTTGGAGTTGTTCCGAGAAGTAGCGTGAGGAAGTGCATCGTGAAGGAATGATGTGAACTGATGGGGTGGGAAGGGGAAGGTTTATATATATATATATATATATATATATAAAGCGATTTGAATTGTTGGAAGGCTGAAACCAGCCAAACACATGTATGTAGCAGAAACCAAGGAACTGACACCATTGTCTTTCCCTGCCAAGATCAAGAGTTGGAAACAATTTTGGCTTTTGGATCAGCACAAAAATCAGAGAATTCAGCCCTACAGGCCAAAGTATGACTCTTAATAATCTTTGTGGGATAGGTCTATCTAGTAGTTGCTTGTTTAGAAAATAAGGCAAAAACGAAACCGACTCAAATACCCATGACTATATGAGCTTCAGGAAATAATATCCAGAGAGATGCTAAAATTATTTTTTAAAGCAAATGCTCCCAGTTCAACTACTGCTGAAAGTATGAAGTATGTCTGTATGAGTGTGTGTGCACATGCATGTGGTCTGTCTGTGATATGCACATATTTCAGTATTTAACGTGAGGCTTTACTGTGAGGCTTCTTGCCTCTGATGGCGATTTAGAACATGTATCTCATTCCCCTGAGGTCACAGGCCTCCATAACCTGGGGAAAACAACAACAACAACTGTTAGCAGTACAGGATTTACAGTGCAAGCAGAAAGTATTTATTTTAATCAGTAGTCACACTCATTCCCACATGCATGTGCACCTACCAATCTGTACAAAAGAGTTTTAGAGCTGAGAATCTCTTTTTCAGTAATACTTTTTCAGTGGAGCATGCTCGCCAAAGCAAAATACGCTAGTATCTGTCAGAGTCTGTGCAATGGGACTCAGAATAAATTGTCCTAAGACTCTTTCCCGGAAATGTTAAAACGCCAGGAGCTGGGGAATGTCCTTCCTTTTGAGTTTCGGATAAAGACAGTTCTGCCCAAGCTTATCCTTTGGGAGACATACACGTTGTTTTGGAAGTTGCATGGAAAATAGAGCAAAGGCAAGATGAATAATCCAATAATTGGAGGGGGGGGGATTCTGTTTTGAAGCCATTAAGAATAACCATTATAAAGACTTATTTTGTTGATTTAAGCATGGCCCTAGCTGTTTCAAAAAGACAGCGTCCATATGGAGGTTCAGTATGTAGCAAAATTAATTCATTATTTTTGCATTATTAAGCTTTATTTTTTTTGCTTCTGGAGAAATCAAACAGTAGATTTTTTGCACTGACCTGCTAATAAAGTTATGCTAGATCGACATTTAGTATAAAAAGGGAGATTCTTCCTCTATGTTGCATATCATTTCATGCAAAGCAACTTCATATCCTTTCCAGAGTAAATGAGAAAATGTAGCAGTTGCAGAAAAATTGTACCTTCTTATATTTAACATCATGGTTGAATCCTTCTACTAGAATAATTTTTGGAATTTCTAATGGAGGCCACACATTTACAATGTGTAAACTATTCATGTTTGGTATCTATCAAGGAGACAGTGAATAATGTGGATTGATCTATTATATATAATTACGGTAGTGTAATGAGAATTTCTCACTATCTTCCCAAACTTCTACAATTGGCAATTTTTAGGCTTAAAGATGTGCTGAATGGATAAAAAGATGTTCTTTTCTATCATCCATTCTGCCTATGGGTTTATTGTGAATTTTTCAATATTAGTCTAGATTCAAGAAAGCCACTGTTGTTTTGCTATATATCAACTGATCCTGTACAAGCTGGTTCAAAAACCACATGCATAGTAATAATATAAAAAATTCTACCCCATGCCTTGTTAATAAGTCAAACCTATAAAATATTTTTCACTGCTACTGAAATGGCAGGTGCCATTGTTGTCCAAAATGCTATATAGCAAGGTGGACTAAGTCTTAGCAGGTCTCTAACACCACCGATGTCCTCCAACACAATTCAGTGGCCTCCACTAGAAACCATGAATGGAAGTTGGTCTCTCCATCAATTTTGTTCTGACACAACAAATAGGTCATGAAATAGTGAGGAGCAGAAAGATTTTTAGGATGGAGGCCATGTTGATGAGGCCCTTCATACAAACGCATGCAGTATTCATTAAAAATCAGTGCGACAACTTGTGAGACGTGCAGTCTCCTAAATTTCCCCGGCATTTTCATTGCCTTCTTATATAATATATATATATGTATGTATGTATGTAAGTATGTATGAAATATACTGACAAAATAATGTAAGCTAATCAATAATTTTTTTAAAAAAAAAATGAAATTTACACAAAATATTTATTTTTTTTTTGTTTTTGGCCCTGTTGCTTATATTTTTCATCTTTGATTTTTGCAGCTCCCTTCATTTCTCCTACCCTATAGAATATTCTCTGGGTGATTAACTTGTCACTTCCAGATGCACTGGGATTCCCCCCGCCCCCCCACTAAAATTCTGGGAGCCTTAGTCCTAATATATCTGAAAAATACCAGGTCTGGGGAGTGGTGACAGTATAAAGCTTTCCTTTTGTTAACGTGACCCAAGTGTCAAAACACGAGGTCAATTCCATCTCCTGAATGCTGTAAAAGCAGCAGCTTCTAATTGTATGCCCCAGGGCAATGTCATTATACAATGTTTCTCATTCTCCCCCCCTCCCTGACCCCATTGTTCATCCTCTGCCTGAGCAAATGAGCACGAATGCATTTATACTTTATTGCTGAATGAGGTGAGGAATAACGGTGCGCGTATGTGTGAAAGTGTGCGAAGAGAGATTCATTCCTGGATATTGTTGTATAAAGCATGAGTTTTGCAACTAAGAATTGTTGAGACAGGTACTTGGATGGAGTGGGAACATCAGTTTTTTGGCATCCTCACCCAGGCTCCAAGCCCCATCCATAGCCAGATGGGATGCTTGAGAGTGCGAGATTTATTCTTTTATGTTTGTTTTAAATGTCTCTCTCCTTCCGAAAAATTCAAGCAAGATGATTTCCTCCTCCCCCTCCGCCTCACCTGCAACTGTCTCACCCCGCCATTAACCAATTAGAAAAAGACTGCGTCTATATAGATATATAAATATTATAAATATATATATTTTTTGAAAGTCTCTATTTTTCAGATTTCATTCCCCCCCCCCCACTGCTTTCAAAATTGTCCCCGTACTCAGTGCTTGCTACCTTGTCACAGGAAAAGTATATTGAAAGTTAATGGTTCATGCCTTTTTTGACACTCAGATGAAAGTTAACTTGATATAAGTATCCAGTAGTCACATATCAGTAAATACATTGGTAGGCACATGCATGTGAACAAGATATCTGCTTCCAGCCATTGCCTTGCGCACTGTCCCTGTACTAACTCACGAGCTACTAAAGATGGAACGTTTAAGATCCCTCTCTTTTTAGCCTACTCGCTGAGGCAAAGCCTAATCACATTATATAGCTTGTTGCTTGCCCAGCTTGTATCAAGACAGTGCTGCGTTTTAGGAATAAACTTGTATTTATGTAGATCACCTTCCCTGTCCTTCTCTCAGCCTAAATGTATTTGAGGCAAAATACCCAAAAGGACAGTTTCTAGAACTAATGGGAAATTTGACTCACCTCTAAACCCTACAATCTTTTTGCGTATGTTGGTTGGGTCAGAAAATGATGACTTTTAATAAACTTTCCTCAAGTGACATGTTGGGCTACTCCAGTTATGTGTGAGGATGTAGACCAAAGACTAAAAACTCAACCCTGATCCATCACGATGGACTGTTGATCCAGCTATGCCAGAAAGGATTGTCTTGGATATATAAGAACTCTAAAGGGAAAGTAGTTTTCTTTCTATTGCCACAACTTTGGCAATACCATCCTGTTTTATCTTCTTCCTTTTCTAGAATCTCTTAACAGAAGGTTGTTTGGTTAAGCCACCTTCCATTAACCTGATATCCTCTCAATGGGACTACAAGTCCCAGAATTTCCAATTAGCATGTGGGTAGGAGTTCTAAGAGTGCCCATACCACGCTATCTAGAGAGCAGCCAATTGAGAAAGGCTGGTCTAATTCATGTGCCTTATTCACTGGTTCATCTAGTGATTTGCTCCAGATGTGAGTAAATGACTAGCTATATCAATCTTCTTCTTCTTCTTTTTTTGGACTTAATCACAAATCCAACTTCATCAGTGGCACAAAGAAACTTTTGTGATGCAGGGCAGACAACCTCTGGTCCATGCTCATTTACTTTGACTTTTTTGAGCTTCAAACCCTGAGAGAGATGTTGGTTTGTTTCTGAGATTTTAGGGATACCAGCAAGCAGGCTTTTCTCTGGAAAAAAAAACCCTCCACTTCACATCCAATACCTGGGTCTCAGGTCTAATGTAATTTTAGCACATGTATGTTATGTAATGATTTAGAAGATGTTGGATTTTATACATAATGCACTCAAAGCACCCTCTGCGCACAGAGTATTACATAATCTTGCCAAAGAAACCTATTTGAAATGCACTTTTCTTCGTTGTACATTTATTCTGTGTGGCTCTGCCCTTTTCCCCATTTTTAAAACTTTTTGTTTTTAAAACTGTGTTTGCTAGTGAATTTTCTCTAGCAATTTCTGAAATTCTGTCTTAGAATAATTGGGTAATTTAGCTAATTGTATATGTAGCTTGATATTTAAAGAAAGTTCTTGAGCAGTAAAACAGCCAAATTATATTGCTTTTGTGAGAGAGAGCAGGAGGAAAGCCATTATAAACTCACCGACCTTAAATTTCAACATTTCTTCCCTCTGAGCTATTGTATGAAACTCTCACAGTTTAAATCTCATGTCTAAAAGTAGCTATTTTCTAAATTTCCTTCTCAGCAGCATTAATAAATAATATCTGTCAAATAAATAACATTTAAGCAGACCTAGGCTTATTTATAACAAATAAAAGCATCTTCGCTAAACTGGGACAGAACATTAGCACACAGAAGAATGCTAAGGAGCCTGCCTCTTCTCAGTTTCCCCTCTTGCCACTAAGTCCTCTTGTTGTCCTTAGATGTATCCTCAGTGTCAACATGGAAGGAAAACAACTTCCTGATTTGTCAATATAGATCAAAGAAGCCACCATCTTGTCCTTTCTCATTAGCAGCAAATTGGCTTGGATTAGTGTAATGTTAGAGTCAAGAATGTGCCTTTTTTATCCTAACGGAGCTGGCAGGCATTGGCAAATATATATTTATCTTCTTCTTTTATAGAGGTTATTTGACACGCAGCTCAATATAGACATCAGTTCTTTATAATACAGAGGTTGGCATACCAGGCTGTTTTTTTCATATCATGGTTCACTGATTGTCCTTAGTTATGAGGCAGACATTGGCCCAAATGATTAAAAAACAACAACAGCCACATTGGACCAATAGCCCAACAGGCAACTTATATATCTGTTTCCATCTGCAGTTAAAGTGAATGCACTGAAAAAACAAATGGGAAGAGGAAACAGGGCTGAGTTACATCTTCAGACAATAATTAGTTTGAATAGTTCATAAAAGGTTGATTTGAAACAGGCTCTTTTCAAGTTATTTTTGTGCTGTGTATTTAAGAAATATTTGGCAAAAGAGCAAGCTGGTGATAAGATGTATCCTGCTAAATTTCAGGGCAAATGTTACACTGACTTCATGGAATATCTATGTAAGGCGTACTGAAAATCTGAAATACTAGCTTTTGATCTGTTGCCCTCTGCCATTTTTCACTATTAAAAGCAAGACTATCTCTTCGCTAACATGATTAAGGACCAGTGCTGGACTTTTCTTCTATGCATTAAATGAAGTGATTTAAACAAATAAACACACAATTATATTATCAACATTCTTGCCATTCTTGGGTAGTGTCTTCTATATATTAATCATGCATAGTTATTTAGAAGGCTGCAGGACTTTTGCTGGATGTCTTAAAATACTGGTTGGACATCCTTTTGATAAGAACTTCTTTTTCTGGGTTTCCTGGTTTGAACAGGAAGTTAAAACAAATGGCTCGAAGTTCCTCCAATTTGACTTCTAATAGCACGAAATAGGTGGGACATGGGTTGTTCCTAGCATCATATTTCCAGAAATAGTGGTTTTTATTCCAATGGATGTACTGCTGAATAATAGCACTTCAAAATCAATGATGCAATCCAAAGAGAACATTGTCCACCTTGGCATTAGAACTACTCAGATTCCACTTTTTTGGCTGTAGGGTACTCTCAATGGACATACCAGAACATAACCCCTTAATCAGAATTAGGAACCAACAACCATTATTGAGGAATATATATATATATATGTATATGTATATGTATATGTATATGTATATGTATATGTATATGTATATGTATATGTATATGAATGTGTTTTAGATGTTTTATTGTGGAAGATTGCTTTGAACTGTCTACAAGAAGCAGAAAGCAACTTGTCAAATCAGTTCCTATCAGGAAATATTCCATCTAGTGATTCTCTTTTCTACATTTATTTTTTCAGAAGGTATCACATTTTGCTTAGTTTTATTTGTATTTGAAATGAAATGCTGTACATGATTTCAATAGCATTAGAGCAATAAATACATAGAAGAAAATTACTTTTGGAAGGGAGGGAGTTTGTCCTAACTGAGCTCAGAAAAGTCAATTAAAGTTAGCAGTAGGGACAGAACCTGAATAGGTTGATTGCCTGTGCATTGTTAAATTCTCTGCCTTAGATATAGATGGAAACATATTTGTGTATAATGCAAGGCAATAAATATCAACATTTCTTCTGCTGCAATTGTTTGCATAGTTCCATACTATTTTTAAAAACTGTGGTTCTTTGCCTTCTCATCAAAGTTGTTCCACAGTTTTTGATCTTCTCATCCTCTTGATTCAAAATCCAGACTTCAATAATCCAGAGGTCAATAATAATGAGATAGTAATATTGCTATGAAGACTCCTATAATTGTCCATATATGCCATTTATTCATCTCACTATTCCCTATCTTCTATTCTCTAAAATGTTGAGAGCCTAGAAACTGAAAAATGACATTTTGCTTTTAACTACCAAATACCTCCATCACCCCAGAAATTAGAGGCTAAACAAATAATGTGTTTAGGATTGGCTGGATGCTTTTGCTGCAGCAGAGCCTTCCCAAACTAATGGAATCCTCATTATTTACCTCAGGGTTTTCCAACTTTGGTAACTTCAAGACATGTGGACTTTAACTCCCAGAAGAAGTCCACATATCTTAAAATTGCCAAGGTTGGGAAACTGTGATTTACATGAATAATCCCTTTGTATATCAACTTGCTTCATGACTGCTCTGATAGAAACTTTCAGAATGAATCCAAACAACACAAATCAAGCATCTAATTTATCTCCATGGGGGTGGGGGGGGAGAGAAATGCATCCAATGAATTTTGGGTTTATATCTAATAAGACTGTCATTATTTGCCAATATAAACTGGGGAGATCTTTATTAAAATTGTGACTTATTGACTTTGTTTTTTTACTTGCCTGGACTGTTGTTGTTGTTACAGATTTCTTGCCAGTATTTATGACTATACAAAACCATGTTTCTTTTCTTTCTTGCATCTCTCCATTTTTTTAAACCCAGACAGAAATGTTCACTTACACATAACAGAGAGAGTAGCAAGAAGGAAGGGAATAATAAACCCAAATGCAATCCCCTTTTTATGTGTTTATATAGACAGAATTATCTCTATATTTTACCACCTAAACTTTCCTTTCCCTTTGTCCAGTAATTTCTTGACTCATTGCGGTTCCTAGTATGGCTTTATCAACAATAAGATTTTAAATCAAATCAATTATATCAAATATGCTGTTGCTTGAATTGCCCAGCTTGGTATCTGGATTGTTGGAATTATATCTCAAACTTTAAGGGAGTGAAGGAATAAAGACTCTCTAGTTTTTGCACAGGGTACTTGTGATGGTGGTTGTATTCACTCTTGCAACCTTACACTGCAAATTTGGTTCACTACAGAACTTCACACACCCAAACACTAAGATGAGTATATGTTTGTCCAAAGTCAAATTTGAGGTGAATCTTCTACACAGAGGAAAAGGATTCGAAGGAAAACTAATTTGGTAAGATCAATGCAAATTTCAGAAAACCTTTTATACATAAACAAATATAACAGTAAGCACCAAAGTTGCCCAGTTTGACATCTCCATCATACTTTTTACAAATGTTTTTGGTGTGGACTCTTTGACAAGTGGTCCAAAAAAGATGATGGACTTATCTTACACCATGCTCATTAAACTTTTGAAGGGAGTGCTTATTTCTTTTACTAAGAACATGTATAATTTTCCAAGGCTCTAAATGCATGAGTATGCATCTTTCAGCATTCCATATAGAAGCTAAAGAAACGTACAGAAATCTATTACACCTGAATTCTAAAACAAGGGCTACACAAAGTCATAGGAAGCTACAGTGGTAACACAGTATACAACAACTCAGATCAAGATACTGTATTGCAATATAAGAAGCATCTGTAAATTTATAACCCATCTTGTTATCCAAATCAACTCTGGGTGGCTTACAATGCAATAAATATATATACATATAAAACAATTATCAAAATAATTTAAAATTCCAAAAGTTAAATACAGAGTAAAAATACCAAGCGGTCAAGCAGAAAGGAGGTGGGTGGCACCTTCTCTATCACTACCAACCATCTCCAGTCTAGACCACTGGATCCCAGAACCAGGTTTTAATGCCCTTCTGGAGGGCCAGATGGGTGAGTGTGGATCTCACCATCTGTGATAAGATGATTAAAAGGGCATGAGCCAATTTTGTGCATATGTGAAGCAAATATGCCAATAGATAATTTGATGAAACTGTATTGAAGTGAAAAGATGATGGTAGACAAACAAGAAAAAAAAAGATGTTTTGATAAGTTATTTTTAATTCCATCTTCTGAGTGCCACTATAAGGGAAGATCGCAAGTATATAAAACAATATCAAGTGATATATTATAATAAGCTACTAAAATAGAAACTATGTCTGCCTTCCTACTTTGCATTAAACTATAATGTGGGTTAATTTTTCATGCAGCACACACTAGTGACTAATGTTTTTGTATTAAACAGTGGTTTTTAAAGGTGGGTCTAGCTTAACGTATTAGACTAGCTAGCAGAATAGCATTTAAATAAGACATGCTTTAGGGAAAAAAAAGGTAAAAAAATATCAGAATTAGATTTTTTACTAGGGCAAACATTCAAACTCTAGTCAGTCAACAACTTGTAAGTTGTTCACTTTGGCAAGATTTAACTAAATATTTCTGGCTTATAACTTCATAGTCACTTTATTGTGTCATCCAATGGCACACAGGTTACTAAGATGTCTGATTTCCTTTAAAAATCAGACTTTCTCCAACAATAATTAAAATGCTTGGATTTGGTAATTCCATCTGCAATTATGAAAACATGTCTCAATTCTGAATGAATGCAGAGTGTTTGGGAATCATCAGTTTAAGGAACTTCAGCATATCCACAAAAAACCTGACATGTTTTTGGTAGGTAATTACTTGTCCATTTCCTTTCCAGGGTCCTATCAAAAATCCATCAATTGTTTGTGTTACATTGTCTAGGCAGAGAAATCCCAGAAGTTTTAGATTTGCATTTAAATTATTCAGTTATGCAACAATTTCCTTTTGAAGCCATCTTTTCAGGTCAAATGTGGTCAAATCTCTCTCACCCTGAAAGAATTTCTTTAAATAAGCTACCATCTAAGTCTCTGTATAGTCACATTGAATTGCCAGAGATAGCTGACATGAGATATGACTAATATATTTACTCTGAGCGTTTACAGAATAATAGAGTTGTAAGGAACTTGAAGATCTTTCTTCTAGTCTAATTCCCAGCTCAAGCAGGAAACAATGCAGACAAACAATTCAGACAAATGATTGTCCAATCTCTTCTTAAACCACCCCCCCCCCACTGTTGGTACACCCACAACTTCTGGAGTCAAGTTGTTCCACTGATTAATTTTTCTAAATATCAAGAAATTTCTCCTTGGTTCTACACTGGTTCTGTTCTTGATTAGTTTCCATCCATTGCTTCTTCTCTTGCCTTCTGGTGCTTTGAAAGAGTTGTTATTCAAAACATATAATTTAAGTGAATACGGTCCTAAAATATTTTCCTACATTTTCCAAAGAAGTACAGTATAGGGCAGTGTTCACCAATCTTGGCAACTTTAAAATATGTGGATTTCAATGCCCCAAATTCCTCAGCCAGTTATTCTGGGAGTTGAAGTCAACACATCTTAAAGCTGCCAAGGTTGAGAAATACTGAGTTAATGGAACAAGAGTTCCAGCACGTTTTTTTTCAAGGACGGTGCCTGTCTGCTCTTTTTGACCTTGACTGTCAGGTAAACATCATTCCATCATGTTTCAAATGTGATTCTCAGTTTACCAGTATCTGAGTAGACTTTTTTAAAAAAATGAGAAAAAAATATGTCAGAAGAAATGGAAAATACTGGTGTACTGTTGCCATGAAAACTATCCATATAGATTAAATAGAAGTAGCCCTCAACTCAAGGAAATTTGTCAGAATTTGTTTATAAACCTAACTTAAACTGGTAACACAAATATATACAAAATAACAGACTTCACTCTGTAACAAATTGGAAAGAAATAAACATGCACAACAACAACACACAACATGCACAACAATGCACAACATACAAAACAGTTTCATATCAAGGGCCCCACATTTCTATAATGAAAACATATTTTTTCTTTGTTTAATGCAACCTTTATGGCAAATCTTGGTCATAAATGTCATAATCTGTCTTGTTTTCCTTCAGAAAAGAAAATTTTAATCTTCTTAAATATGCAGA